AGAGGTTTGGTATTGAAAAATTGGGTTCTTTCCGTCTGTCCACAAAAGACTACCAAATCCTAACGGCTATCCTGGGGTTTTTTATTTTTATTTTATATGCAGATCCTTATAAATACCAAAGAGTATTTTTGAATATTTTTACAGTAATTAAAAATAAATTTATTACAAACTATCGAGGTTGATACGTAATTAATTTTAAAAATTAAATTCTTTAAATACCAATTAGCGTCTGTAATCTTTAAAATTGGTATTGGAAATGTCATTATTGACCATTGCCAAGCAACATCTATCTTGATTTAATAAGATAGATTACTCGAATTTTTTAATAAATTATCCTAAATAAAATGCTGCCCTTGACGTGGTCATACTAATTGTATAATCTGGAAGGATTTTCCTTTTACTTTTAATAACGAACAGTTTAGAGCTTTTGAATGTAGTATTTTAGGTGATATCGAACGCATGGCTTCGTATTCTGATGTTAAGTGCCAAATTTTCAGTTTAGTTTTAGGTTATTTTCTCAGATACGACGGACAATAATGGGAACACGTATTCCATTGGACAATTAGCAAAAACAAGTCGAAAACTATGTTGCATGTTGTCGCTCTTTACAACTTTTTTTCTTTTTAAATAAAAAATAAAAGAAGAAAAAAAAATTGTCACTTTTCACGAGGACACACCGCACCAGACTTTGATTTAAGAAGGCTCTGATACAGGGGTCGTCGATTGTGATGGCATTTTTTTCTTTTTCTGTTTCTTTTTTTTTTTTAAAAAAAAATGCAATGGCTTGGTCCTTTCCAATTAAAAAAGAAAAACATCTATCCTAACTATTGAAAGAGTTTGTAGCTGCATTTAACACAGCATACCTGACAACTGTCACATATTTCATTGCCCTCGCTTGTTTCCAGCGAATTTTGGAATGTAAATATCATTTTTTTAATGAGTTTGTAACTTTTTTTTTTTAATATTAAGGTGTCTTCGAGTATGGTTTAAAGAATTGATACTGATTTTTTTTTTATTAACATTTTTAATCATATTATCTGCAATCAAACTAGCATATTTACAAGAAATTATTTCATTACATTAATTCTTAGGACTTCAATATTAAATGATAGCATAAGAAACAAATCTATTCAACATCCAAACCAAACCTTCTAAAATCATGAATTCTCATATAATAGACTAGATCAAAGCTAAAAAAAATAAAGAATGCTAACCAAATAATGTTAGTAGCTAAATTACAATGACTAAGAAAAAAAGATCAACTTTCCAAAAAATAATCATATTAAAATAAGGAAGCATTCATATTATATATAATATATAGTGAATAAGATAAAGAAAATGACTAAATTATAATTATAAGTGAAAATGATTTTTTATTTATTTATAGGTAAAGAAATATTTTTCAATCTATTTTTGTATCAATTAAAATTAAATCTATCATTTTCTACATTAATTTAATATCAAAATACGTCTAATATGGGACCAAACTAGCTTTATTTTTTAATTACAACAAATTAAAAAAAAAATCAATTTCTTACAAGAGTTTTAGTAGGGAAATTAACAAATAAGAATAAAGGCATGTACATATTTCATAAAGTGACAATAAAAAACACAAAATTATAAGAATTTTTACAGCTAAATTAACAAATAAAAAATAAGTATCAAAATTAGTGTTTTCAAGTTGAATTAAGTTGTGAGGTTTTTTGTAATTGAGAGAGAAATCCTCTTTCTTAAAAAGTACGTCATGTAAGATATGTAAAAGTAAGATGCCATCTGCGTGCTTGCGTATTTCTGGATGACTGAAAAGGTATATTGTGATCTCTAAATAGAAGTAATCGTGCAATTACATCCTCAAAGGTTAAATGACTGCTCGTAGGTATCTCTTGTACTCTCAATTTTTATTAAACAAGACCTAATTTATCCTATATGTGCTATCAACTTTTATTTGATAAAGTCAAGCAATGAAACATGAAATGATCACTTACTAATTGCTTTGTTTTGAAATAAAGTGGGTAAAAACTGAAAAAGCAAAACATTAACTAGTATTTCACAACTCAAAGTGAAATTCAAAAAATAAAAGCTCATCAGTACCTGTTTATTTAAATTTGTAAAGATACTTGAACTTAATTGGTAAATTAGTTTAGTAATCGGTCAAGCTCAAGACACGGATCCGATTTTACAGAAAATTATATGTTGATTATGGAACTGATTAGGCTTAATTTAAACAACTTGACAACATGAGCATCTTGCACCGGTACACATTGTTTTTGTACCTGCTAAGGTGTGCAGTCATGCCCATAATCAGAACATTGAACATTCCGATGAAGATGATGAGTTCTAGATCAGGAACGATCACAAACGGGCTCACCGGCACACCTTAACCCAGCAGCGGAGACTGGTGACCCGACCCATGTCCTCGGCAAGCAGTGGAGGCCAGGCTGGAGGTGGACGGTAAAGAGTAAATCATACGGACAGTTAAAAATGTACTGACCGAGGGACACGCTTCACAAAGTATAATCATGTGTAGAAAATAACAGCTGTGTTGCCCAGAATTCGCAGGTTCACCTTACACCTGCGTTCCCCTAAATGGGACTGTGACATCACTGGCTACACGTCTATCAACGTGGACTGTTGTTATTGGATTGACCAAACCAGCTGGTCTACACTAACCCTCGTCCATTCATTCAATCCTACAAAAAACGTCTTAAAAAGCCTGAGACCTCTGCTGTTTTTCTGATGGTTGTTCTCTGATTTTCCTCCTTCGAGTAGTTCATCTTTTTTCCTTTTCCTTCTCTCTTTTAACCGTTTCGATTTTTGTGCAAGTTTTAGGTTACATATATTTTGCCCTTTCTTAACTTAAAGATTACATGTTAAATGCGAGTTAAATGACAAATCAGAGTCACAGGGGTCCATAGATTCTGCGGGACCCGGTCCACCAGGATTAAATCTGTCCATTTCTAAATAATTGGTTCTCATGTCTTGTCACAGGAACAGTCCGCGACGGTAACTGTGCATCTAAATTTGATTACATCAAATTGCATTTCTATAATTCATTTTTTTTAATATTTACCCTTCTGATTGAATCTAACGATAAATTAATCTAACTCAGGGGAATCTGCATTGCTGTTCTAATAATTTTGGTCACGGTTTCGATCGGCAACAACAAATAATCACATGAATTCTAAACCCAGCAAGTCTTACGATTTTTTTATTTTTGTTTTTTATGTAATGACTCAAATAAATCTCCCTTGGAACATTTCTACCACCAACAAGTGCTTACAAGGAACAAGTCTTCGATATGCACATTATTATTTTATTACAGTATTTGGTTTGGTAGTTGATATGGAGATGAATGTAAAATTCTAAGATAGTGATGTGCAATTGATTAGGTAGATCGGGGTGTTTTTTTACATATATATAGAAACATTGACATAGTATTTAAAACCCAATCAACTAGTTCCAAAAAAAAAAAAAATTCAAATAATTCATCATTTAAATTTATGGTGAATTACATTTAACTGATGTCATAATCGCAGAGAGTAATTTGGATTTATATTATTTCAGACATCCTTACAGGCTTTTGCTTATTTAGCTTATTTGTTGCTTTTTATACGTTCGTCCAGAGTTAAATGATAGCCAATTTGATAGCTTCTGTGCATTGATCAGTAGTTTTAAAATGTAGTTTTCACGAAAAAGACGGTATGATAGCTCTAGTTTCTTCCAATGACAAAAAATTAAAACCCTAAAAGGGTAACTGACAGATATATAGAATTCCGTATGATCTGTTTACGTGGATAGTATCAGAAAAGATTCTTTCATATACTTATACTTATTAGCCGTAGCATCAATTTTACCCGTATAAAAAATTGGTTTATACAATTATATTGGCAATCTGCACATACCATACACTGATTGAAAACCGGAAGGATAGCAAACGAAGAATCACGTACACGTGGAATTTTTTTTTTTATCACGACACACACATAAATCATTTTTTGGGGCTAAATAGTATATCTTTATATAACATGAAATAACAAGACCAATGGCACAAAAGTTTGGGTACACGGTTTCCACACTTCTGTTTTTAGGTGTAACATGATCATTGGAGTTAGGGTAAAACAGCTTTTATTAAGTCAATATGATGTTGATCCATTATCTATCCCCACCTTAACTTCTTAAATACAACAAAAAGCTTCTATATAACTTTTCTGTCAGGATCGGAATGACTGACGAGGACTAATTCTGTTTTTTTTTTTTTTAAGAGCCAAATTGTTACATCATTAACTGTTAATGATAATTAGACTAATTCTAATCGAAGAGTAATTCAGAGTTGAAACAATGGATGTGTTTGGTAATATAATTAAAGCCCAGGAGTGAGATTGACAAAAACAAAACAAAAAACAGAAAAACAAAAATTTATCAAAGAAGAAGAAGAAATTGGATGAGAGACGTGTAAATCTTTAAAAGTGTGTGCATAAAAAAAAAATTAAAAAAATATATATACAAGAGTTTTTTTTTATGTTAGTTTTGACATTTCAATTTAACATTATTGAATTAAAAAATCCATCGATCACATAATAATACCAAAACAAAATTTTAATCATAATAAAAAACTTATAATAACCACATTGTTGATATAATTATTTTTATTTTATGTATAAATATTTAATTGATTGAATTTTACAACTCAATGAATCTTAGTTGTAGAGCTATAAAGACAGATACAGTACATAAGGTACGTACAGGTCTGGGGACGCAATCGTCATTGTGACAGAAGACAAGGACAGCTGGAAGTTTCCGTCAAAAGAACCAACCCCAATCCATGCTCTTCGTATTACAATTTTTACTTCCTGCGAATACAATTCACATATTCATCTAATCCAATCGTATATAACAGATTTTTATTTCCTAAAATTCTCTTCCCACCGTTTACTACTGTATTTTATTTTATTCATTTACCCTAGGAAAAACAATTATGCTTTGTTTGGCATTTCTATTCTATGGTGGAAAACGGAAAGCAAAACAAAGCTAAGCTGGAAAAAAAGAGGAAAAGAAAAGTAAACCAAAGAAAGCGCCTCTTTCTCTTCCCTACTGCTCTTGTCTCTCAGTTCTGCTTCTCTCGTCTCCTCTTTTTAATTGTGGATAGGGTGCAAGTGAAAAGGGGGAAGGGGGAGTAGAGTGCACGGTGGCGCACGCTAGCACCAGGGGCCTAATTGTGCGCCCTGGTTCGTTTCATGGATTCGTCTAGTCGCTTCGTTCTCACGGCAATTCTACTCTGAAAAGGAAAAATAAAATAAAATAAAATAAAGAGATCGAATCGAAACTTTCCTTTCATTTAATCCATCCTCTGCTGCAGAATCTACAACAAGTCTGGCGGACCTCAAAGGAACCCTAGCGTTCCTTCGATCGTCCCTTATCTCAATAGTGGCAGATCGGTTTGATTTCAAATCAAAGAAGAAGAAGAGGAGAGGGATTTACGGTGCAAAGATGCTTTGGATTCTACGATTTTCAGGCTTCTTCTCTGCCGCAGTTGTCATGATTATACTCTCTCCTTCTCTCCAATCCTTCCCTCCAGCTGAAGCCATTCGCTCCTCGAATCTCGACGGCAACCTTCGTTTCTCCGTCCTTCTCTCTCCTCCCCATTCCCTCCCCCAACTATCCTTCCGAAAGTCGGCTATATTCCGTAATGCTGATGAATGTGGCTTCTCCGACCACCAAATCAGAGGCAGAACAAGTGTCTGTGATCCTTCATTGGTCCACGTAGCGATCACTCTCGATGTGGAGTATCTTCGTGGCTCAATTGCGGCCGTTCACTCAATTTTGCAGCACTCATTGTGTCCAGAAAATGTATTCTTCCATTTCTTAGTCTCTGAGACCAATCTGGAATCCCTAGTTCGATCCACTTTCCCTCAATTGAAGTTCAAAGTGTATTATTTCGAACCGGAGATAGTACGCAGCCTCATTTCTACTTCAGTTAGGCAAGCGCTTGAGCAGCCACTCAATTACGCGAGGAATTATTTGGCTGATTTGCTAGAGCCCTGTGTTAAAAGAGTGATTTATTTGGACTCTGATCTAGTTGTCGTTGATGATATTGCAAAGTTGTGGACTACTAATTTGGGTTCTAGGACTATTGGAGCTCCGGAATACTGTCATGCCAACTTCACAAAGTATTTTACGGCGGGTTTCTGGTCGGAGGAGCGGTTTTCGGGGACATTTTGGGGGCGGAAACCCTGCTACTTTAACACCGGAGTGATGGTGATAGATCTGGTGAAATGGAGACGGGTCGGTTACACGAAGCGGATTGAGAGGTGGATGGAGATCCAGAAGAGTGACCGGATCTATGATTTGGGTTCGTTGCCGCCGTATCTTTTGGTATTTGCGGGACACGTGGCGCCGATTGAGCATCGGTGGAATCAACATGGGTTAGGTGGTGATAATGTGAGAGGTAGTTGCCGAAATTTGCATCCGGGTCCGGTTAGTCTATTGCATTGGTCTGGTAGTGGAAAGCCGTGGCTCAGGCTCGACTCAAAGCAACCGTGCCCTCTTGATGCTCTGTGGGCACCTTACGATTTGTATGGACACTCGCATTGAAAAATTCTACTCGCCGGTAAATTAATTATCCTTCAGGCACTTTTTTTTTTTTCAATATCTTTCTTCTTTTTTCTTTAATTTCTTATAGTTTGGCATTTGTTCTTCATATGACCTCATTTTTTTTCTTTAGCTTAAATATCAAGTCATTTCTGAGGCGATTTGTATTTTATTCTATTATTCCTGCCTTTGAAAAATAAATAGATAAAAAAGGGAGACATTCAATTTGTTATGGTGGTGCATGTTGATATTCGGCATTGTAGTTAAAAGCTGCAGCAATTAGTGTTAAAGAAGGATATCTCTGCTAAAGAAAGGAAGAAAGCTGTCCTTCAATGGAGGGAGACAGTTGTTATTCATATTTGAAAGAATGGGATAGACAAATTAGTGGCGTGGAAGTGGAGATATTTTTTGAAATGACCAAATTGCGCGTTTTAATGCCTTTAAATTACTAGATCAATTGCAAATTGCAATTATAAATTATTAGCGTTTTGGTCGGTGTCGGTCTGGTCTGTAACCATTTGTTTTGTTTTTTGTTCTTGGGAATTTCTTCTCTTTAATTAGCACTCTCTTCCTTTTAGTACTACCCGTGAGGTTAGTGGTGAGAGCCAGAAGGTGAACATTGATTTTTTCGACAAAGTGATAGGGCATTTGGGCAATTGTGGTACACAGTGGGTGGACTTTACAAAGGGCAGCTATTGTCTTCTTTTTGGACAAATGGTAGGCCATGTGAGTCATGCAGAACGATGCTTGGGAAAGGGACTTGAAAGAGAGCTGTTCTAGGTTTTTGATTATTATTTTTTTCCTTTCATCCTTTTGCTTTTTTGCTTTTTGCATCCCATTTTTTAGAATTTATAAGTACTAATTTGCAAAATAAACGGGTACTAATGAAGTAAGCAATTGGAAAAGGAAAAGGAAAAAAATTGAACGATAAGCTTACATACTTGTAGGTGGAGTGCAATGAACAAAAAAAGAGGAAGGCGCTATGGATTGGGGCATGTGAGCTTAGATCTTAATTTTTAGGCAGTTTTTCCATTTTTGCATGGTGGCCAAGCCAAAACGAACCGAGTGCGTTGTATCCAAAATAAGAAAATGATGCCTGCTGGAGGAGCTAAACCGGAAGAATCTGAAAGAGAAGTTCTGATAATAGCGAAGTCCGCGGGCTCTATTTTGTCTAGTCCCTGCTTTGGTGGCAGCGGCGTAAGACTTGTGAACTCCCTCTCCATTCGGTTCCTTTGCACGCTTTGGTGGCAACCCCTTATTCCTTGTATGTTTGTATTTTGCGATAAAGGCTATTTTAAATGATCGTAATAAGTATAATTATAGTTTATCCAGCTAACAAATAAAGCTAAATAGTGAACTAAGAAATGCATAAATAAAGCTTGGAAGTTGGGCAATCAGATTTCTTTTGTGGCATCCAAAGGGGGACCCAGATGGCATTGTTGCGTAGTAAGTGTCCAAAGTAGGGATGCGGGGACCGATTCCTTTTGGCCTGGCATCACACGTGGCCAGTTGCTTGGACTCTCCTGGAATCAGCTGGTCACATGTGGATAGTCCAACATCATTATTGGATTGTGTTTTAACATTCTTATTAAGTATGAAAATTAAAAATATGCTGTGGCCTAAATGATTGTATTTGTTGGGTTACCTTAATTGTAGGTATTATTTATCTGTTCTTCATTATATATTATTAGTAATAGCAATGCTGATTAAGACTTGGCAACAGCCTTGAGTGGTTAATGAAAATCACAAAAAAAAAAAAAGATCAATCTGACTTTGACAGCTTTGCTGTCACTAATTATTGTAATCTCATGCTAATTCATTGTTGTAGTATTTCAATGGAGATTTGACAAAGGTTAGATGGTTCTAGAAGAGAGGAGGTACGTGTTCCGGAGCACGGAATACATGAGATTTTTAGTATTTATTTTGGCTTTTGGAGAGTAGGTCGTTCATGTGGGTGGTATGGAAGATAGATGTGTGATTTTTTGTGTGTTTTATGTAATTTGAAGTTAAAAGAGAAAAAGGAAAACAAAAAACAAGAACATTCAAGTCTTACGGACCTCCATTGAGGTGTTGTCGAGAGGCTATTGAAGACTGATAACACGTCATGATCAATTGGTCCAAATGCAAGGTATTAGCTTCCTTCCGTACCTAATTTACCTCTAATGAACACCCATATGACGCTCGAAATAAAACAAAGCAAACCGGTCCCTCGGCATAAATCTACGAACTGATGTCTCAGGGCATTGTCCAGGATGATGGTATTTTGAACAAGAAATGTAGGGTGACGTTGCTGCCGACACTAACGGAATAAACTAGCAATTTTAAAAAGGAAACGCACGTTCTAAAATGGCTATAATTTAGAAACTGCCAAAGCCAGGTTGCATGATTCTCTCATCCTTACTTCATCTTTTAGGGTAGAATTAGCTTCATTATTTGGAAATCATAACAGGTTGTAAGAGGTAACAAACCAGATCATGCTCAATAGTCGAAAAGAAGCATTAAATTGTGCATCCCAGAGCTTCTACTATTTTCACCCCGGTGGGGATGTCTATATGCTTTACAAGCCAAACAATCGTATTCATTTTGAGGCCCAAACCATTAGCTGTGGCATGCGAAAAACTCAAGAAAGAAACAAAAGAAGAAAACGAGCAAGCAACGCATGAGATCTAAAAAGAAACTTGGTCTTGATAATCTTTACAGCTATAGAAAGCAACTTCGGTTGATATGAACAGGAAAGGACCATTAACCATCCATGGTCCACCACCACATGTATTTGTACACATTAGGGATTTGCCACATTTAAAACTTTTGCTAGCCTAACCTCAAAAACTACAAGAAGCTATCTGCACCTTTCTAGTGGGACAGATCACTTGCTACCCAAAACCACGAGGCAAACATTTTCAGAAATGAGTGAAGCCATCAATAGACCGAATGAAGATGCTCTTTGAGGCATAAAAGATTGAAAATTTTGTCCATTCAGGAAAATAGAATGGAACAAAGACTTAACAACATTACAACAATAAATCCACTTCAACTCCAACTGTAAAGGAATGTTAGCAGCTAGGCCCACGCGATTAAGCACAATAATTAGCCTGATGAGACCCTGGTAAGCAAGTCAAAATTAATTCACTGAGCTTTCCGGACGCTGATGATTTAGTTATTTTTTTGTATTTCCTGCAAGTTCAGTTTACCCTAATATCCCCTACCAAAAGATGAAATTGAGGTTCAGTTTTCTCCTCTCGAGGCAGGTTACTGTCCTTGACTTTACAAGCAGTTGATTTGATTTCCTAATTTACAGGTGACGACGGCGATTATGATTGAGATACCTATAAAACAAATTTCCTTTGAAAGATGAGTGGCTCTCTCACAGGAAGTGCAATGATCGATGGTACTGGCTGGTTGATGGCGGTGGTTATAGTTTAAAGTACTTACAAAATAAGTTTCTTTAATTGGGTGAAAGACCATTGGATAGTTAAATTAGGATGTTAAAAGGAATAGTGGTAGGAGAAGGCAGTAATGAGAGTATGAAACACATGATGAACAATACTATTAAGATATAAGAGTCCACAATTACAATTTTAGATCTCATAGTTATTTATTTATATAGTCATGGGACATGTCAAGTTATACAGAGAATAGCAAAATTATTTATTCCTTTGCTATCAATAATTTCTTATTTTGATTAGGAAATAAGCATCTTTGATATTAATAGATCATTAATAAATAAATATGATAACATCATAGTTATCGTCGATGACATAAAAATAATATTGGAAATTGTCTTGATTTACTGTGTTTTATTTGTAGTTTTAACAAGTGGGTCAATGTTGAACAAATATTAAGATATCATTGTTGTTGCCGATTGATAAAAAATAATTTGAATGTGCGTCTTTGTTTAATGTGTATTATTTGTACTTTTAATAGGTGGGAAGTAGCTGTAAACCCCACGGCTATAGGCCGTGGACACTCTTGATTGGCCGTCTGAAGGTCGTCCAGATGAGCTTCGTCGATCCGGCTTTTTCTCGAGCAGAGTAATATATTGAAAGTAGACCATAGTTCTTTCACGCCCTTGAGTGAAGCCCAGGGATACATGAGTATCTTGGATGTATCAACAAGAATAGTTAGATCCGATAGAAAATCCAGTTACATATATTTCCAACAGCAGCTACGTCTTGACTCACGACTCTAGTTGGACAAGTAAAACTTCTATTGATTATGAATTAATTAATTGACGAGCACTGTTGGTGAAATGTCGCGAGGAATTAGTACAACAATGAAACGATAGAAACAATACGGTTTAATAGCATGATTTACACAGAACCTATTGAATTTACGATAAAATAAAATTTATATTATCAATTTAAATTATTATTTTTTTCATAAATTTTATCTTTTTCGTTATGTACGATAGCCGATATGTCTGGATAATTAAAGTAAACATTTTAATTTTTTTAGAATTAATATTAAATTTGAATTTTTTTTAATGCTTTAGGTTTTTTTATTACTAAAGAGATACATTACACATCATTAATTATCCAATAATAAAAATCAGATTCACAAATAATAAAATCATTTATACTTTTTTAAAACTAACTATTATTAAGTATTTTTTTGGAAATTAATTTTAATTATAAAAAAATTATTGTTTTATACATTTTAGTTAATATTTTGATCATCATACATAACAAAAAATAATAAAAATTATTGAAAAATTATTAGTTTTGAGTACAAATAATTCAAATTAATAATATAAATTTTATTTTATCAAAACTCTAATAGTTTACTAGTTTAATGGCAAATTATGCCTTAAACCGAAACAATGCTGAATGTAGCTAAGAAATGAACGAAGGAACCTCCAAGCTTGTGGGCTATGAGTGCAAGTTGAGCTTAGGGGTGGGCAGATAACGGAAGCTTGTGATTGCGACTCCTTAGCAATTGCAACATTGTTCTTTATCTGGACCACGATCGATACAGCTACAAGGAATAAACTAATGGAACGAGATTGAAATTAGAAACCGGGGACCATTAATTCACAGATTTCGCACGCTCCTTACAAAGATGCAAGGCAGAGAAGTGTATGTTCAAGATTTTCTTTCTCTAACCTTTCATTATCGTAGAATTAGCAGCTTCTTTCAACCTGGACACAATCCTGTAATATTCATTAATTTTGTGGGGCATTAGTAAATTCGTAACATCCTGGATGCGAAATTCATACAAGAAGAAGAGAGGTAGGACCTGAATTAACTATGAAAATTATAAAGATAGTTTGACATGTGATATGTTTCAATTCTAGAATAAGATACCGGTTTCTTTTATAAGCTGATCATGAATTGTGTTATTATATTGTGGATTCAGCTAGGAAAAAGTATTTAAATTCAAAGAAAACACCACCTACAAACGCAGATAACCGAGGATGAGACATGACAGTGCTTAAACTAGATTCTTGACAGCTTCGTTCACAGAGGAACAAAGCCAAAACGCATTGTAAGTTATTTGCTTTCAAGTTTAAGAACTAACCAAGGCCGGATGAAGCACTCAGACCAAATCTCGGAGAACTCTCCGTATGTTCCTATAGATGCAAACCAGAGAGTTTTTGCAAGAACCTGAGGTTATTCAGAGACACAAAGGTCAGCTTACAACCCAGAACAACGGGCTGGATTTAAAGGCAGGTAAAACAAATATTAGCATGGCTACAATTCGGGGACAGTTCAATTACATATGAGGGAATTCCAATCCAGACCATGAAGCCCTGTTGCAAGTTAGATTTCCTCAGTTCAGGAATTTTCTGACATCACAAATTTCAGAAACATATCGCAAAGTACCAACTAATAATATATTCATCGCATAAGATAGTGATAGAAATAAGGATCAACTACATTAAAATGAACAAAAAATGTAAAGAAACTGAATAGTGCTACAAAAGATGAAATAGAGAACTTCATCTGCATACACGGAGCTAAAAAACCTATGATAGACAATACACATCAGGGGAACTGAAATTTCATGTAGTCTTGTGTTCCAGAAGGAGGACTAATGTACACCCACAGCAAAGAAATGATGATGGAGAGCAATCCAGACCACACATAGACAATGGTTGGAACCCTTCCCCTCCTTCCCAACAAGCCTTTGGCAAAAGGGTAAAGATGGGACAAAACCCAGAAGCTGAAGAACACCCCTCCAACGAGCCTGCTCCACTGTGGAAATGGGCTATACAAAGTTCTTGCAACGCCTACTGCAATTGCAATCAGGTTCAGCATCATTATTGTAATAGGAGGGACCATTAAAAAGCTCCACTTAACCACATATAAGTCAGCAAATTCATCATCTCCATCTTCAGGCGTTGCAGATTTAGATGTCAATGTGAATGAGATGTCCACTCCTGCTATAACCTTCAGTAGTCCTTGTAAAACCGCGGCAGGATGGGCACTTGTTCCACCAATCAACCAAAACTGTTCGTTTCTCCACCAATCATGAAGTGTGATTCCTGACCATTTGATTTCTAGGATTGCAAGCAAGCATAAGGTGATAGTGATGGCCAATAAGAAGATTAGAAAGGTCACACTGAGGGATTGGACAATGAACTGGCCAGAAAAAGAGAAACTGCAGGTAGGACGCAGTAAACTATGAGAAACATGGATGTGAAAGGGTACATTCCGCAGTTGAAATATGCCACCCTTTGTAAGAATTTCATCCGGCGAGTAGCAAATAGTGCATTGTTCCGTGAAAAGAAGATTTCTACCGAACCTGTTGCCCATCGAAGGACTTGGTGGAGCCTGTCTGTTAGATTTATAGGTGCTGTGCCTCGAAATGCATCCCTTTTGGTAACACAATATACGGACCTCCATCCTCTATTGTGCATACGATAACCAGTCACCACATCTTCTGTCACTGAACCATATATCCATCCAACTCTTTTTCCCCACTCAGTTTTATCCTCGTAGAAACAAGAGATTACACTAATCGCCTCTGCAACAGTTGCAGCATCTAAAGGCTCACGAGGCACTGCAAGGGAACCAGCGGGTCTTCCTTGGTTACCTTTTCCTTGCAAATCCTGAAGCAGTCTTCCCTGGTATTCTGCAACTGGAATAGATGCAGCTAGAGAAGTAGAGTTCCCAAACCTTTTAGGCAGAAGCAAAGACTCAATATCTGCATCATCATCATCGTTCTGACCCCCATTGATCGGCAAAGCTATCTCATCCTCTTGCTTCTTTGCTGCCTTGGGTTTCCTCAAGGACAATTTAATTTTCCTCCTACCAAACCATCCATGGTGCTCTGTGGTTCTAGGAGGACTAAAGCCATAAAGAGCTGTTCTACGGAAAATACAGCCTGTTCCAACATACATCGGACCCTGTAGGCCATCAAGAGCTCTCATGCTCACATCGAAGAATACTGTGTTATGGTTAGCATACCGATCGCTTGGATCAATCCCTTCAAACCTTTGGGGGAACTGAACATAGCAGATCCTATCACCACCCCTATCAAGCATAAAGCACATCCCTTCCCTCAAAGCCAAAGAGTTATAGATGTAGTGATCACAGTCCAAATTCAGAATGAATGGACCATTTGACATGATTGCACTGGTTCTAACTAGAGCATTCATTGCCCCAGCTTTCTTGTTGTGATCATAACCTGGCCTTTTCTCGCGAGACACATAGACCAACATTGGCAACCTAATATCAACTTCTGTAGTGTCAAGCAAGTTCTCACCATCTGCTTCTGCACCAAAAACAGGTTCTGCATTTGGAGGAGCTAGCATAGCCTGCAAAGGAAACAAAAATTACGAATGACACTATAGTCAACATATTCTCTAGAATGTTTACAAACTCAAAAGTCATAAGAATTACCTGGATTACACCAGCATGGTCTCCTCTTGAGTGGTCCGCTTCTCCAGAAGCCCAAGTACCCGGCCAATGAGAACCATCTGACATCCAGGTAGCCTTTGGTACCTTCACGGTTTCTGATGGATTCCCCCCATTTCCATCTGTTTCTTCCTCGCTCGAAGCTCTTCGTGGGCATGATAGGCATCTGACCTTCTCCGAATTGACTCAGGCAGTGAATTGATTCTCACCTTAAATTCGTCATATTCTCTCTTTACTCTTCTCCTCTCTCTAACAAAATCAAGTTTCACTTTGTTCTTAAGAAAATCACGCTTCTGCCCAAAATAAGCCTCAGGGTTCCTGGGTTCTATGCTGTGTTTCCTACAGAAAGGCACCCAAATTCTTGAAAAGCTAGCCGTCTCAGCCAGAGCTTCAAACGTCAAAAGAGATCCACCATCATCCGATAAGTAACATGCCAGCTTTTCCACCGGATAATCAACTGCGAGGATCGAAAGGACGGTGTTTGCAGTGACCAAAGGAGGTTCCTTTTCAGGGTCAGCCGTGGAAACAAATACATCAATGCCTGGAAGGTCTGATCGGCCTTTCGGGTTTCGAAGATTGGGGGATTCAAAGCGCTGTTTCAGCACGGAGAGGTCAGTCACTCTGTTTACAGGGCAGAGCTTAGGGAACTGATCAAGAATCCATGACACGGCAAACCATAACTCACAAGTTATGGACATCCCCCATAACCACATTGCTTCGCGATTGGGGTGTCGGACTCTCCATGTAAGGAATAGACCAAGAGCCGCAAAACGTATCATGATGAGTAGCCTGCATGGTAACAATAACGTCAGACTTTAGATACGAATCAAACATAGGTGATATGCAAAGCCTAAAATTCGTATTGAAATTGATTTAACTACAAAAATTGACTTGTTCATCATCTAGTACCACTTAAAATTACATTAATAATCACATAATCCATATAGATGACAGACAGAATAATCAATTCCCAATTCCAAGAGACAATCAGCATAAAACCCATCTTCTGAACCGTAAGTAACCCAACAAACTGAGAATGTCAAACCAGCGCATATAGGATCTTTAACATAGAACCAAATATGCCAACCATGAAAGTCCAATGGCAAGTAGTATTGATTATTAACCTATTCTGTCTTTCCGATTTCAACATAAGTCATATAACGAAAACCATAGATTCAAGTTTGTGGGTTCGTTTACCTGTAAGGGCTGAGAATTGCAGCAGAGACCCCAACCTTCCTGGTCAAAGGCCTCCTACTTCTCTCTCCGAAATCTGGAGGAGGCTCACACCCATTAACACCTGACCCAGCACCATATCCATCTTTAGGCCACACAGCATTTCCATACCCATAAGTCCCCTTCGTCTCAAACAACCACCTAGTATGATCAAAATCAGGAGGATGACTCTGCGCCTTAAACGACTTCACAAGTGAAAGCCTCTTATCTAATTTAGGCAATGGTAGTGCCTGATCATCTGCTTCATTGTTAGCCTCATCATAATCATAATCATCGTCGTCGTCGTCCTCCCCCTCGTCATCATCATCCTTGTATGGTTCCTTGCAACCAGGACAATGACCCCCTCCATTAGACCCCACACAGTCTAAATAACAATCTCTACAAATATTGAACCCACACGCACATTTTCCCTTAATTGATATCTCATCACAACCTTTCATGCCACAAACAATCCCAGATTTCAGAGACGCGTTGTTTTCTATCGAGCAATCAATAACATGCCCACGTGTGACAGAATTGAACCCACCAGTGAAAATAGTACCAGAAATGAAACTCCTCTCAGGTTTGGCAGCATTCTTGATCTCTTCAGCTAGGCTTGTCTGTGAAGTTGAAAAGCTCTGGTGATCTGGAGTAGGAGGTATATGGACAGTGTACGAGACGAACTCTGAATTGATTTCCTCCGTGGTATCATCTCTGGACATTGAACAGTATCTGCCTCCACTTGAGGTTCTGTTTCTACTGTTGCTAAGAGGAGAATTTGGGTTGTTTGAAATGGAAGCTCGTGGTACTGGACTAGTTAAGCCCATGCTTCTACTTCCTCCTCCTTTGCCTCCTGACGAGACCGTTATGGTCACTGGAGATGAACATGGAGAAGTAGCCCTTTTCACCATTTTGTTTAATGGTCTTTTTTTTTCTGTTTCTTTTTTGATTCTCTCTCACAAGTGTAACATTCAAAATGCTGAAAAAAAAAAGAAAATGAATCTTGTTGTCTGGAAAGTAAGAGAAATATAAAACGAAGAGAACCCAGATGAGGAAAGAAAGAAAGAACCAAAAGGAAGTTAAGTAGTTTCGAAGTGAAGAAGAAGAAGAAGAAGGTAAGAGTTGTAGCCTTTAACGGAGATGCAACGGCTCGATTTGAAAGTTTTTGAGGGAATAGAGGCTTTTGGGGTTAAATCACTACAACGGTCGATTAATCTGCACCGTATATGGAATGTGATCTGACGGTTAATGTTTGAATGAAACGGTCGGGTTTAGGGTGGGACATAGTCCTGTGGTTCATGTTTGGAAGAAAGTCAAAATTCTCCTGCCCAATGGCTTTTCTTCTTTTTCACTTTTTTAATGGATGGATTTTCTGCTTCAGTGATCTAAAGTATAAACCGTTGAGATGCTATTTGATCCCACAATTAATAAAGTGTCTCCTTGTTTTGTGGGCCCCTAATTCAAAAGTTTGGCCGTCAAGGCATCTAACCTACTGCCCGTTGCCAAATACGTCGCCGTAATAGCTATTTGGAAATCTTCGAGTTCTTCCTTCTTCTTTTTTTGAAAAAAATAATAATAACACAACCAACAACTCCAAGGTTATAAAAATTGATTCTAACTAGAATTGTTTGAGGATTCGAAAAATCCAATTATAAGATCTGAATTCAAAATTGTAAGATACAAAATTCAAGTGGTATCTAAGGAAAGGCAAAGTAGGAATCTATATATATAATCCTTCTCAAATATAACAAAGGAATAATAAATCTTTAAGCAGAAAACACAAAAGAAAAGAATTAGTAAACAATACAGTTTTTTAGATTAAAAGTAGTAATTAAAAGGGATCTGTAAAAAAGCTTTTGAAAACCCATCCCTCTAAATTTCCTTTGCTCTCAGATTCTCATGCAATACAAGAATCTAAAGAATTCAAAAATAGTAATTAGGTCGGACTCTAGCTATTAAATAATTCCAGCTAGCACTTCTTTTCGTTTTTGAACATGTCTTCTACAACGATGCTCATATCACTACTACTCTTTTCATATTTGACCAATCGATCATAAATATTTATGAGATCCCCAATTCATAAATTTAGTCTCTTTTTAATTAACATCCTACTGATAAATGCCATATGTTAAGTCCATAATTAAGAAGGCAATCCTTAGAAATCGATTGTCTTTCATAGTCCATTTGAAATTGCATTGTGGAGTAGGCAGTAGCTACCCCTTTTATCATTGCGGAACACTGTTTATTTGCATGAGGGTTGTATTGGGAGTAATTCCTTCTGCTTTTGGCTGGTTCCATGGCGGGCATGTTTTGATCTGGTCCAATTGCAGAACTTAAGGCACAAATTGATACTATCTTGATGGGTTAGGTTATGTTGTAAAGTGTAATTTCATTGTGATAGTCTGATAGAAGAAAGGGATCTGATAACAATGCAGCTCTTTCTTGCTTTGGAAAAAGTAAAAAAGGAAAACGGTATGTGTTTTTTTCTTGACAATCTGAAAACAGTAAAATATGCTGTGTCTTAAAATGAAAGAAATTCTACGCTTGTTCCGATCCAAAGGAGTATTTAAGTCTTTTAATTATATGTGGCTAATAATCCAAAAACACCCAAAATTATGTCATGTTACCGGTGGTAAAGCTCGAGCCTTTTGTCAAGGGATCCAATCCCAAAATTCTTCAAATTTATTTTCGTGTATATTTATTTGATGGTAATTTTTTTTTCTAAAGCTTCGAATTGATATATGAGTGTGATGCTTATACAAAAATTGTTATGTGAATTAAAATTTATTATATAAAAACATGGTATTTACTAAATAATAATAATAATAATAAAATCAAAATAAAATTTAAATTGAAAACGATAATTTAAACTGTCTAATATGGATACATTAAAATATAGAACTGATATGCATATGCACCTTAAATTATGTTGCATATTGCTTATAGATATCCTTTGTCTTTGAATAAAAAAAGAGAAAAAAAGAAAGGTATGATAAAAAGAACTAAATGAAAATATAAATACTTGACAACATGAGTAATCCTTTGCAAAACATGCTTTGAAGATGTAAAATAAGATTGTGTTAAATTACTTTATCAACTATAATTTTCACTTTCATAAAAATATGAAATCCATAAATTGTTTTTATTATAGGTTTTTTTAATTTGTTTTTACGAGAGTGAAAAATAAATATAAAGGAAGGCCAGAAAAAATATTTTGAATTCTCCCCCAGAACCCGTTGAAAAATAGTTGTAACCGATGAGGGGGCAGCTTCTCTTGTAGGACGAGGCTAGGGATTGGCAGCACAAGGGGCTGTTTGGCGTGTTACAGTGACTGTAAGACGTGCTTGTCATGACTCAAACACTGATATCGCCTAAAGCTCAAGGATTTCGCTCTAAAAACAGTCTCACCTACATTGCTCTTAGCGTGTGAATGTTTATTAATTAATAATGTCTAGATTTGAGGTTCTCATTGGTTGCTCGTACTTGCAACCAGTTGTAGCCTCCACCCCTATATCTTTTCCTTGTTTTTCTTGCTACTTTAGTGTTTTTTTTTTTTTAATTTTAGATATATTTCATGTTTTTACACGAGTTATTTTTATTATTTTTCTTTTTGATTATGAACTTTGAGTTGATGGCCATATAAGAAGTTATAGAGATGTGTTATAGGGTTGTTTACACAATATATTTAAACTTTTATGCTAATATCTACCTAACAACATAAGCGTGTGTTTTCTTTTTAGACAATTCAAGTTCGAGATTTGGTCAAGATGTGCCTCTTTACAGCCACCAAGCACACAAATTTAGAGTTTTCATCTGTTACACTCGAAATTCAACTTTGTATATGCTTGATTTGTCTATAAAAAATTATCAAAGTAATTTAATTTAATTATGTACTAATCAAATGTTAATTGCATTGACTTAGCATGGATCTAGATTCTACAACAAATAGATTTGACCGACAATGGATTTTATCCAATACGAATCTCGCGTCATACAACAAGGAAATGAGTTTAGGCAAAATTAGTGTTTTTTTATCTTATTTTTTGAATGCAGTAAAGAGATTGACTTGATGGGTTTAAAAAAAGGCATGTTAAAGGAAGGCCAAATTACTTTTTCATTTAGCATTTGCTAATAAATTGATACGGTTTAATTCCTACCACTAACTTAGATGACATAATGTAATTCTAGCTATCATACATAGAAATCAAAGCATTGAGTTTGAAATAGAAAAAAGAATCACAAACTAGTATTAAATGTAACCGCAAAACCTAAACGGTTGGTCTCACAGAGAGTTTAAGTAAATGGTTAGTTACATCAATAGAAGATAACAATCATTCTTCCAAGTTCTAGCTAAGATAGATTGCATCACATACTATTCTAAATATTTATTTTTAGTTTTTATTATGCTGAATTATTTATGCCTATTTGGGTGTGTTTGTCATGAAGTTAAAACTAAGTCAATCAAGTAATTTAAGATTTGATTGGTTAAAAATCTTATACTTACTTTTTAACAAAAAAGAAATTGAAAAACAAGTTAGAAACCAATTATTTTGCAAATTATAAACCCTACACTCAAATCATAAGTGAAAAACAAATCATCATTCAATATCATAAAATTATAAAATCAACACTCAAAGCATAAGTGAAACCAAATTGTCATTTGACTTTGCAAAAAATATAAAATCAGCACTCAATTTGTAAATAAGAAGCGAATTGTTGTTCGATATTGTAAAATCATAAAAGCATAAAATCACCACACAAATCATACGTTGAAAGTAAAATCATTTTTTTATATAAATCGTTCAATGCCAAACAAAATTTTTCAAGCCAAGAATGATAATACAAATCAGTTTTCATAATTTGTTCAATAATGATCGAAAATAAAACTAAAATTGGCAACACAAATTATTTTTCTTTGATCGTTTGTCGAGTAAACAAAAATCAAGCCAACAAAAGCAACTCTAAAATCATTTTCACTAAAATCAACCATTAATGAATGAAAATCATATTGAAAATAGGAACACAAATCATTTTTCATAATTTTTTCAAAGGAAATCAAGTCGATAACGACAAAACAAATTATTTTTCATTATTTGTTCAATAATGAATGAAAATCAAGTCGATATTTTTTATAATTTGTTAATTTGATAACAAATAAAAATTAACAAATTAAGCCGATAACGAGAACACAAATAATTTTTAATAATCTATTTGATAATAAATGAAAATCAAGTCAATAATGGCAACACAAAAATCATTATCACAATCATCTGTCAATGGATAAAAAACATGGTGCCAAAAGCATTACAAAGTCATTTTTCATAAAATATATCACAAATTATTTTTCCATGAATGGTTTGTTAATGAATAAGAATTAAATTATGATGACATCACAAGTCATTTTTCATAAATCATTCGTCAATAAATAAAAATCAAACTAATAATATCATCACAAACTATCTAAAATAGGTCATTTGTCAATGAAAAAAAATCAAGCTAATTACAGCATCACAAATCATTTTTCATAAATCGTTTGTCAACGAATCAAAATTAAATCAATAACAGCATAATAAAAGATTTAACACAAATCATTAACCAACAAACGAAAATCATGTCAATAACGTCATCACAAGCCATTTTACACACATCATACAATTTTAAAATCAATCAATTAACATTAGTATTTAAAAATAATTATATTAACAATCAATTTATAACTCAATCACACCGAATAAATCACATAATCAAAATTATATTGATATATGCACTCACCCTAGATAATCCTTAAACTTAAATCTCAATTTCATCTTTTCAATTTTATTGTAGAGTATTGAATCTATTTTTATTTCATCTTAACATATCTGATGGTCTCAGATCTTTTGGGTTTAATATACATTGATCAATAATTATAGGAAATGCTCAAAATTAATTTTTAAGTGAGAAAAATAGTGGAAACTAACTTGAAAAATCGATCAAAATGACACTAGGCAGTCACTGTAAAATTTTAAAAATTCCTCCAAACAACTGCTGCAGTTACTAGATCGTCCCTACACTGATAAAGTCTCAAAACACCCTTAAATAATGGCTTAACATCTTAAAATTACTCCCGATACGTGTTTGACACACACATCACATACTATGAAAACGCCACTATTCATCATTGTTTTGTTCCAGTGAGCTAATAACAGCATCATAAATCATTTTCATAAATCGTTTATCGACGAACAAAAATCAAATCGATAACAATATCATAAAAGATTCAGCACAAATCATTAACCAATAAACAAAAATCATATCAATAACGTCATTTTATACACATCATACAATTTTAAAATCAAGCAATCAACATTAGTATTTAAAAATAATTATATTAATAATCAATTCATAAATCACACCAAATAAATCCCATAATCAAAATTATATTATATCTATACTCATTCTGCTTAATCCTTAAAATTAAATCTCAATTTTATCTTTTCAATTTTATTATAAAGTATTGAACTTACCTTTATTTTATCTTTAACATACCCTACGGTCTCGAATCTTTTGGGTTTAATATACATCGATCGATAATTATATGAAATGCTCAAGATAAATTTTTAAGTGAGAAAAATAGTGGAAACTAACCCGAAAAATCGATAAAAATGACACTAGGCCGTCGCTGCAAAATTTTGAAAATTCCTCCAGACAACTGCCGCAGTTACTAGATTGTCCCTACACTGGTAAAGTCCCAAAACACCCCTAAATAATGGCTTAAAAGCTCCAAATTACCCCTGGTACGTAATTGACACGTATATCACCTACTATGAAAATGCCACTAATCGTCACTGTTGTGTTCCAGTAAGCTCCAACCTCCATCCAACTATTTTTCAGGCCTTCTTTCCACACACGTGTGGTCGGAATAGCTTGCACTTGTCTTCATCGATCCTTTGATGAAGGTTGTGTCAGATACATCTAGCTGGAAAGGGGGAACGGCGACTGCAATTAATGCTCAAGTTTCTTCCTCTTCTCTGAGCAAAACTGACCAAAAATTGAAAGTTTCAAAGCTTGCAATTGGATGAGGATGGCCTATGGGGTCTGTTGGCGTTTCATCGCAGCTGCTACAAGTTTTGGTTTGGCCAGAAATGTTTGAAGGAGAAAATTTTGTCCGGCCAGAAATCGACTGTTCTGGGCGTTTCTAGTGCTCGTCTGCCAATTGCAGCTGCTGCCATGGATGGGGAAGGTTGTTGTGGTGGTGCTGTGCTTTTGGTCGAGTTCGTTTGCTTGTTTTGGCTGAAATCCGACTGTAGTCAGTGAGGGAGAGAGAATTTCGGCAGGATGAGAGAGAAATGATTTTTTTTTTTCTTTTAGATTTTTTACCATTCGTTTTGATTTTTTTTTTTGAGAGAGAATCTCGGGTGTGTCCCTAAGTAAGGTTTTTACACCTTACTTTTAATTTCCTATTTCCTATAATCACCTCTTTGTCCAGATTCGTTCTTTTTACGGGAAGTTATCTTGTTTGACCGAAGATTTTTTTACCCCTAGGTCGATTAAGCTAATCCTGAAAAGGTAGATTAGGCTTAATTATACAAGAGTGGGATAGTCTATGTGGTTTTATTCTTTCTCTTGATTTTTATTTTTTTCTCAATTTTTACTTTTTTTTTTTAAAGTTTCTGTACACTCGTCATATTTATTGGAAACTCACAAAAAATCATAAAACTCATGAAAACTTGTAAAAAAAAACTTATATTTTAAAAAATTAGATAAATAGAATAAAATGTTTAATTCTTGATATATATTTTTTTATTTTTTTAACTTTGTAAAAATAAGAAATCTAAATTGAGTTATGACACTAACTGTAAAGAACTGTTAACATCATATTGACTCCAGTAATTTCTATAAATCTTTTAGCTAAACTTCTAAAAGCTCTCTCGTTGAAAGCTTTTTTTATAAATTACAATACTAACTTTTGAAACATTTACTAACTTATTATTGACCTCTTCTCGAGAAATCTTTACACAAATTCATTAATACATGTTCAAGCCTCCGTATACCTTTCATTAGACAATCACCGTACGCACAACCAATTTATCGGCATCTCCATTATCCATTTTTTTCATTTGGATGCTATCGAATCTATAACCATTCCCGTGCGCCTTCAGTCCTCGCGGCTTTTTTGTAAGTGCAAAAACGATTGTCATTCGTTTCTTTGATTCTTTAATATACATGTCTAAATGTGTTTGAAATTCATTTGATACCCACTATTGAGTATCATTTAGATATTCAAGATTATATACAACTCCTCTGGTTTTTGTAATTATTAAAATAATCTCATTTTCAACCAACATTTCAGACCTTTAAACAAATATGACGTTTATATAGGAATTACGTAATATGTAATGATTGATTGATAGCTTTGCTCATGTTAAATTTGTATAAATTGTCTAATTATTTTGAGCTTAGTTACACTTGCAACTGCCATTATTGAAAAAATAGCTTAGGTTCAGGAGACTTTATAAAACCCATTTTTATAAATATCTGGATGGAAGAACAGTGGATGGTGAATCGTTCTTCTGATACCATCAGAAATAAGGCCGTCATTTTGGTCTCGCATGGTAGCAAACGCGCATCCATACCTTACAAAAAAATATAATGAAGAAAGAAAGCTTCAAAGTTTTACTTGGTAAAATTACATATCGTTTAAAAGACACGCTAATTCGCAAAAAGCACAAATAATAATTGTATGGGAACTGGGGATCATCGAAGCCTAAACAAGCACAAAAGGATGTCATACTACACAACAACGACCCCTTACTACCACTGCCACGTGACGCCCTTAGACCTGGTCTTTTCATTTTCTTTCTTACACAATTCAAACATTTAACGGTTAAAGTATTCAAAACAAACGAGAACAAAACTACATGTATAGACCAGTTCCTCTCTCTATGATCTCATGCTCTACCATTCAAAAACCTTTTGCCGGCACGCCACTTTAATTTACCAATTCCATGCTTAGTCTCTTTAGCTACTACACTTCCTTCCTTCCTTGTAGCTCGGTTCTCCGCGCATTTCTTTCATGCTGTTAAACTCATAATCTTGATCATTAAAGGCCATGGCTACCAGATATCTGTGCGTAGTTGTTGTTGTTATCTCGCTTTCTGTGTACAATTCTGTCTCCCAGGCGCCACAACCACCACCACCGAATTCCACTTGCAATGATGTATTCGTTTCTTACACCTACAAGGGAGGTTATCCTATCCGCCCCTTGGACCCCACAAACCAAGCGTACAGGTTCGAATCCACGGTGACCGTGCTCAACAACGGGCGGGATGAGCTCAAGTCGTGGAGGGTCTATGTTGGGTTTCATTATAAAGAGCTCCTGACTTCTGCAACTAACGCTGTGTTGGCTGATGGGACCTCTCTGCCTGGTTTTGTGGGAAACGGTACAGAATTTGTTGGGTTTCCTGAGACTGACCTCAAGACTGCTATCGAGACAGCAGGGGATTTGACCCAGATGGAGGTTCGGGTTGAGCTGGTGGGCACCCAATTTGGAGTTGGGGATCCTGATATTCCTATGCCAAATAATTTGACTCTTGTTAATGATGGCTATACTTGCCCGGCTGCCACAACGCAAGGTATGCATATTGCTAATATGTTCAATAAATAATAGTTTAGTATTTAGCTGTGCCTGTGTGTGACTGTCAAATTTATTTATTGGAGAAACGGACTTGCTATAGTTGTGAATTTGTGGTAGATGTTTCCAAGAATTGCTTAGAGTAGATTATTTCATAGAAATAACTTGTGTATTGATTTTGTGTTGAAATAGAAATATAGATACCCAGTTGACTAGCCTAGCAATGTTGTAGTGCTCTGTTACTTAGGGCTTGTAGATGAGAAGCAAAATTCAGGATATTTCTGTCCAAACTTCTTGTGAATCTTTTTTCATTCCTTTAGTCTGGGTATTTGGAATTGAAGAACAAATTTGAGCTCGTTTGTGGTTGATGACGGGCTATTATCTGACTTGTACAGGAAATGAGATGCACTTGTGCTGCATCAGAAATTTGAGTTCTAAACCAGACGACAATCTGGAAGACAATTTCCTACCACGCCAAGAGGGTGATGTTATTATCATGTATGATGTAATAAGAACATATGATGATCATTATTGGGCCCAGGTTAACATTTCAAACCATAATCCTCTTGGGCGTCTTGATAATTGGAAATTAAGCTGGGAGTGGATGAGGGAAGAATTTATCTATGCCATGAAAGGAGCTTATCCTTCTGTTGTTGATACAACAGATTGTATTTTTGGCCAGCAAGGTCAGCACTACCAGGGTTTGGATTTTTCTCAAGCATTGAGTTGCGAGAAATTGCCTACAATTATTGACCTACCTCCAACAAGTGAAAATGATACAAACCTTGGCTTGTTCCCCCTATGCTGTCGAAATGGGACAATTCTACCTCCTACCATGGATCCAAGCAAATCCTTTTCAGTTTTCCAGGTTCAAGTGTTCAAAATGCCACCAGATTTGAACAGGTCATTGCTCATTCCACCACAAAATTGGAAGATCAATGGAACATTTAATTCAGACTTTGAATGTGGGTCTCCGATACGAGTGAGTCCAAGCCAGTTCCCCGATCCAACTGGTTTGCCTTCAAAAAGATCGGCAGTTGCCAGTTGGCAAGTGGTTTGCAACATAACACATTTCAAGCACGAGAGCCCAAAATGTTGTGTATCATTCTCAGCCTTTTACAATGATTCTGTTGTACCATGTAGTACCTGTGCTTGTGGCTGCAACAACAACCCAAGCCAAACCTGCAGCGTTAATGAACCGGCTCTTCTACTGAAATCTTCAACTCTTCTACTCCCATTTGAGAACCGGACCAAACAAGCCTTGGAATGGGCAAGAATTAAAAGTAGGACTGTGCCAAATCCACTTCCATGTGGAGATAATTGTGGAGTTTCCATAAACTGGCATGTACTTTCAGATTACAGAAGTGGCTGGAGTGCAAGGATCTCTCTTTTCAACTGGGATGATACTGTCTTTGAGGACTGGTTCGCTGCCGTGCAATTAGACAAAGCACTGCCAGGTTTTGAAAAGGTCTACTCCTTCAATGGAAGTGCCCTGCCTGAGCCCAGCAACACAATATTTATCCAAGGTAATCCAGGCATGAATTTTCTTCTTGCAGAAAGGGATGGTGACAACCCAAGAAAGGATCCTCGGGTTCCTGGCATGCAGCAATCAGTAATCTCATTCACTAAGAAAAAAACTCCTGGTATTAATGTGGCTAGAGGGGATGGTTTTCCAACCAAAGTTTTCTTTAATGGTGAAGAGTGTGCTCTCCCTACTATACGTCCAAGCAGTGGTTATAAGACAAATGCTGCTGCTCGTGTTTTCGGTTTTCTAATAGTTTTCACTCTCATGTTCATTCATTGATCGCCTGTTCATACAGGTATTACCACTACTTTTTTCCCTCCTTTATGAAGATTTTACCTAGCAGGTACTAGATTCTTGACTGTTGGGATTGATCTATCGGCTCAGCTTGGTCTGCATTGCCAAATTACATGTTTGGCAACTTGGAATGGGGTGTATTTAGAATTTAAACCATTATTACAGATTGGAAGTTTTAGTGGCTTCTAAGAATAGGTCATTGTGGTGCTGCTATGACCACAAATCATGATGAGGATAGACATTGTTACTTGTTCTTATTGGGAATGAAACAAGTAATTAGCATCTAAAGAAAGCAACTTTTTATGTTATTCCATTTTTTATAGCAATTGTTTTTTGTCCTCTAGAGCCGCAGTTATTCCCTTTCTCTTTTCCTTGGTTAATTGGAGGATTTACCAACAATTGTTACTTGTTCTTATTGGCTATGAAACATGTAATTAGCATTTCCTTGTGAGAGCCAGGTAATGGAGTTGCCTTGTTCTGTTTCTAATCTCTATCCATCAAGTACTAGATTTGATCATTTGGCCTGTACTTTACATGCAATTTACACCATGTTTGGAGAGGATGAGAGGATGAGAGGTGGTAGTGTGTTGGGGAGGATAGAGAATAATCATTCTCTACAATTTACACTCGTGCTTCTCTTTTTTGGTTGGCTTAGAGAGGAAAGAATTAAGTGAAAGGTAAAGTTAGCAAAATGTCCATCAATCTATTTCTTCCTTCTCAATCTTTCAAATTCAGAAAAGTAGAAGAACATGAGAATGGAAGGGACTGACTCTCTCTGTTCCTTAATTTGTTCGGTGCACATCCACCTCGTCAGAGGAGGTGAGCACCTAAATATTCATCCCATCTTGTTCATCCCTTCTACCTCCTTATTCCATAATCTCCACCAAAACAAACATGATATAAAGATTTAAAAGTGCACAGATTAACAATGAAAAAACCATCAGCTTTGTCTTAACTCATAAGCTATCAAATGTCATTACGCAAACCCACAGGCAACGTTGAGCTTGTTCTGGTTATTAATTCACACATTAGCACTTCAGTAAAATTTTTACAATGCTTGATCAAGATATGAAATCAGATACAACCTTCTTGATGTGGGACGGATACAGGTTAGTTAAAAGATCCAGGAATCTCTACCCTAGATGAAAAAATTAAACTAGGTTTCAAATGTGAATATGATGGTATCTATTCTTGGCTGTCCGTGAAGAAGGAAGCGTCACGCGAGAAACATTGCTGATCACAGAGGAATAGGATCTCTCCTAACGGAAGAATCATTATCAGATTGCCAGGCAGCAGGGTTACAATCTATCAAGTTGGTTCAAGGTGCTGTTGAAGACAAAAGAACCCTCAATTAGTTCCCATTCTACTCTTGTTTAATAAATAATGAATATTGAACTATAATAAGCTACAAATAAACTTGGAAAATGAGTGAATTCCCAGAAAACTAACCTCCAAGAATGGTTCGTGCAAGATCTCACTTTGATCCAAGTGTTGGAGACAAAATAAAGAATCATAGGTCATCTGAGGCTTAGTGTCAGCCTTGATCTCATAAAAATTACAATCTGGAAGGCTTTGAGAATGCTGATCAAAATTTCTTTGGGTCCTATAATCTTCAATAAGCAATGGATGGCCGATAGAATATTCATTTTGGCAGGATGCATCTACTAGAGATGTGCAATTGAGAAGAAAATCAAGTGAAGAGGATCTTGTTAATGAATAATAACTTGATTCTGGCATTCTGTAGTTAGGAAGGTTCCTTTGATCATCATAGGAAAGCATGGAGCTGCTAGAGTTAAGCATCAGAGGTCCACTGGAGGGTGGAGTGGTGAGATTCTGCGCTGGAAATTGGCATGAAGTGGCACGGGGTTGGAGGTTACAGCCACCTGATGAAGGGGATTGCTTGAAAATTGAAGTTCCAGGAACACTTGAAGCTGCATAATGATGTTCAAGCTCGTGATGTGGAGCGTCAGCTTGTTTTCGAAGATAAAATCTGTACTTCTGTTTTTATGCAGTTGTTTCTTTAGTCATTATCCTTCGCCAAAAACAAAATATGCACACCACAGACACACACACAAACTTACATGATATTGTAGATAGTTTTATATTCTTCCTATCATAGAAGGATATAGATATATATGTGTGTGTGTGTATCTTGATATAAATAAGGTCTGCTACCTGAAGGTGGCTGGCGATATTTTCTCGAGTAAGACCAGAAACATTCATTCTTTGCATGCATTCCAAAATTTTATTAGGAACAGCCTCTGCAATAACATTTGATCAATGTGCAAGAAGTCAGAAATACATGCTGACAATTAACAGCGCCAAAATTGTTCACAGGTAGCTGAGCTACTGAAAAACAAAGGTATGGTAAGTTTTGAGTGATGGTGTAGACCATTTTAGAAAGGGGAGAAAACTTAGACAATGGATATTGTGGAATTAGTAAAGAAATTCTTACTTCCAGGGCCAAGATGATCCACTGCTCTAACAAACTTTTCGTGGAGTTCACTTGTCCAAACCATCCGTTTCTTTCCCTTGGTCAAATCATCTGATGTTTTGCCTTCATCTTCACAATCTATTTTTCTTTTCAAGGTCATAGTATGCACTGCATCTCCGGAAACCGCACAATCAACAGTACAAAAATTCTCCAAATGCAGTTTATCTTCTTCCTTTCTTCCTGGCTGTTCCAGTCGTTCTGAAGTGTTACTAATTTTCTTGCGAACCACATGCTGCCACAAGACTTTAAGAGCTTCCATCTTAACAGGTTTGATCAAATAATCACAAGCACCCTGAAGAACACCCTTCAAAACAAGTTCTCGTTCATCATCTGCTGACATGACTAGGTTACGTAGCAAGATATAATAAATGTTAGTTTAGTAAAAACACGTGTGTGTGTGTGTGTATAAAGATACATGACACATCAACTTAATAAGATAGAGGACTAAATGAGAACTTACTGACGACAGGCAAATCCATTTCTGATCGGATGATCTTGAGGAGCTGAATTCCATCCATTTCGGGCATGTTCAAATCAATTACAATAATGTCAAACCTGTTCTTATCCTCACGAAGCATTGACAAAGCCTCGGTTCCTCGTTCACATTTGGTAACTGGAATTATGTCATGTATATAGGAATGTGTGAGTCAAAATGAATGATATTTTACAATAAATGAATCCTGTCCATTTGACCAAACCCAATCACATTGTCTTGATTTACTGCATGTATGAACCAATTACAAACAGTAGAATTTGCTGCACCAACCGATTAAATTTATTTTAGTTTGATAGAATATATTTCTGTAAAATTAAATTTCTTGTACAAATTAAGTACACAAGACACAGGCTACATCAACATCCAAATCTACATGAATTAATTAATTACTACTACATTATTATTATTATTATTATTATTAATATTATATGCTCCGGGTATCTTGATCTAAAAATTTAAATTAATTTTTCACTATTTGATCAGACGTATAAAACAAACACAATTACACAATAAATTTTTTACATTAAAAAAAAATCGAATATGATACTAATTAATTAGACAATAATATTATTTTTCATTCAAACTAATTCTATTAAATATCTTATTATACTATAGTAAACCTATTATACTCGAATCTTTTACTTGTGAGCGCATTTCGAATCCACTTATATATGTTAAATGCTAGGAACAAGAATGAAGTCGAGAATTTATATTCCTAATACAATGTTTGAAATATCATACGCCAAAAAGTCAATGGTCATGAGCGTGCGAAAATACAAACTACAAAGTATAAAATTTTATATTTAAAAAGTAATTCTGAATATCAAAACAAAAACAAAGATGTCATAATTCAGTTGAAGCATCCATATATAAAATCTAATTTATCAACCAAAATATATACTAGATCGAAGAACAACAACTAATTATTAACGATATGACATGATATACAAATCCACGTGTTCACGTTAAATAACCTAATTTTTCTTCTCGGTACGTGTTAGAAAATATTCTCCTTTATATATATATATATATATATATATATATATATATGTATGTGTGGATACACAAATAAACATATTCGTTTATGTGTATATATAATGTGTGCGCGAAAAGCTATTACTCATTACTCGTTTGCGGGAGAGAGCGCATAGCTCCCCTTATCTTCCTCGCTCCCCTTACGGTAGCTCAGTTGTAACTTGCATTACATTGCAACTAGTCTCTTGTAAACAAAATAATACAGAAGAGGGAAAAAAAATTGTTTTATATAAATTTAACTCAAAAACTTAAAAGGGAAGCCAAAAAAAATGGTTTTATATAAATTTTGCCCCGGTGAAAAAAAAGAAAGAAAGAAAAGAAAAGAAAAGAAAAGGTATTTAAACCAAAGAAATATAGAACGTCAATGATCATGAAATTAAAAAGAATTAATTGCCTAACAAAATAAATTGATATACCTTTGTACCGACAAGTTTGGAGCATCTTCTCCAATACTGAGAGACAAGTCGTATCATCATCCACAAGAAGAACCCTCAAACCAGCTGGAAATCCATTAGAAAAAAACATAGTACCCTCCCTGCTGTTTTCTTCGAAGACAGCTTTTCCACTATATAAAAAGTTATCCATCACTCAAAACATAAAACCCAAAACCAAAGTTTGAGAACAAGCAAGAATAATATGTATATGTAAGTATATATAGCAGACCGTGTGCGTGGAGTATGCTAATACTACTGGACATCGTTTAAGAGAGTATATATACAATATATTTATTTATGGCAAGTTTTAAAGTTTCTTTTTCTGAAAATTAATTAAAACCCTAATATCCCTTCCGAGGTTTTGAATTGTTGAAATATAATCATTGCCGAAAAAAAGGGTCCTCTGGGTCTTGTTTGTTTGGGTTGTTAAATATGAGTCCGTTTTCTATGCGGATGCTCACATAATTTCCATATTTTTCAAGGCAAAAAAAAAAAAAAAAGCTTGTTGCCACTTTTACCCATAATTATACATGTAAGCCAGTATGATGATTCTGATTACAGGGTACGTAATTAAGCAATAACAACAGAATATGTTTTTAATGGGCAAACCACATTTTTAACCCTACAGGTTTGTCAATATTTCACTTTTTACACCTGTAGCTTAAAGTTTCCTGATAATATTACCATATAGTTTTCATAAAGTTCTAATGTTACCTCTAACTAGAGATGACAATTTACCTTGTCCTAACAAGCTCTGCCCTTTCCTGTCCTAGTCAACATGAGGATTTCCTAAGTTGATTGAAAAACGAGGTGAGGTGCTCAGCCCCGCAATAATTTTGGAAGGGATTGTATCTGCCTGCTCCACCCTGCTTTGCATCCCCGCCCCTTCCAGCCCAGTCTTGCTCTTTTTTTTTTTTTTGAAATTATAATTATATCCAACATATATATAAACTTTGAGGCTACAAACTAGTTTTCAATAATGAGTGAGTTTTGCTAATCTTGAGCAATAAAGACATACAAAAATTTATATTTTCTAATTGCATTTGTGATATTTCATCAAATTAATTAAATATATTATTTATTTGATTGAAAATAATTTAATATATTATGAGTTGTATTGTAAACTTGTAGTTGAATGTGATGTTAAATTATCATTTTTCTTAATTATATTTTTTATATGAACTATTATCTTTTTATTGTGGTTTAAAATTTGATATAAGATAATATGAGGTGCAATAGGACGGCGCGGGCGTAAAAATTAAATAAGGCACCGAGTGCCTCGTGGGGATCCTCGCCCCCACCCTACATCTAAAAAACTCCATCATGTCCCCTTCCCGTGCGAGAATAGGGCACGGACGGAGCAGAGTTTTTAGGCCATCCCCGCCCCCTCCCCATGCCAATCTTACCTCTCACTATTAAATAGTCAATTTTTTGTGCGTGTGTTTTTGCTTTTTTATTATTTTTTTCTAGTGTTTTGAGAGATATTGTAACATGGATAAGGATTCAAGAGGAAAAAACAAGATTTAAAAAAATTTAAAAAGTGAGCTTTTTGTTAGTAATTATTTACTAATCAAGTGATAATGATCTTTTATAAAAAGTCACGAGTTTAAATACTAACGGACTAGTTCTACTAAAAGTTTTAGGTGTATGTGTTGGGTCCGTGAGTTGAAAAAAATTAAAAACTTTTAAACTATAGAGGTAAAAATGGTGCAGTGGTGAATCTAAAGGTGTAAAATAAATGTTACCCTAATTTAAATAGATTGATATATTAGAGTCTCATAATATGATTCATTTGATCCGTGGAGACTATGTAACAAATCATGCAATAATTTGGTTGAATTTGATCAAAATCTGATATGTTTCATGTTCATTTTTGATGTAATCAAATGGATGTTGTATATAATTTTTGTAATTAGAGTTCAATTATAATTCAAATTGATTAATTCTTTTATTAAATAAACTCAATATATACCTATTTCAATCCTATCCGATAATAATCTGAACCAAAATTAATATTGATATTATTTTTAATAAATATAATATTTTAAAAAATAAAAAATTTAAATAAAAAAATATGGTATTAGGTTTAGATTTAGGGTTTATTTACTTAAATGCAAAGAAACATTCTATGCTTATGTTAATTTTTTTCTCCCTCTACATTCATAGTCGTTCTTTTAAATGATTACAAAATAATTTTTTTCTATTATTTTTCAAATCTCAAATTAATTTTATGAAAAATCATATAAACGTATGGAAAAAAATTTAATGAATTATTGTTAATATTATACTTGTGTTTCTAATTTATAAAATCTTGATCAAATCTGATTTTTTTGTTCATTTCAAACTTTTTATTTATAAAACACTAATATTTCCTTTCATATCAGTCAAGTTATCCCTGGAATAGTCCTTTTTTTTCATTTCTTTTCTTTTAACTTTATCATACTTCTTGTCTAATTTAAATTAATTTTGAACTTTAATATAAACTTTTTTTCAGGATTATTTGATTCTCTCTTTTTTAATGTTAAGACATTTGAATTTTTTTAAATTGACATAATAAATATTATCATAATATTTTTTTTATACATATAATAGTTGACACACATTTTACATTAGAGCATAATTTTGAATGTAGCAAATACTTGTTCTTAAAAAGAAAAAAATATAGTAATAATAAATATCTGAAATCAATCTAATCCTGTTAAAATCAAGATTCAGATCGACAATGCAAAATCCAAATCCAAATTTAAATTCATAAATTCAATGTAATTCGTTTATTAAACAAATTAAATATAAATCTACTATGATTTATAAGAAGTTAAAATCAGTCACGCTGACCAGCAGTGAAGCCAGCCTTTACAAGAAGTTTGTTATTGAGTTCGTGATGATGAAATGTTGGGGAAAAAAAACCTTTTGAATTTGAAACTTTCCATCTAATCATATCACAAATCCAACGATTGATATACATGGTTTATTGATGGCGATTAAATTTAACATTTAAAATTTAAACTTAACTGATTATTAAAGCATTTAACTACCAAAAACTACCAAATAACTAGCTCCTTAACCAGTGTCCTTGACTTTTCCCTATTTGCCAAAAAAAATAAAATAAGAGAGAGAGAAGAAAAGAAAGAAAATGGCGCATGCTCACACATAAGCATATCCAGGTCTACGTTTGACTACACCATTCACAAACTGCTATCGCAATCGATACATTGACACATTCAAAATCGAGAGCAGCAGTCTCTGTTGCAATATAATGTTTTTTGCTTCTATGATATTTGCAAGAAAAGATCGCTACAGCAGAAGTAGCCTTTATCAACAAGCTCGACTAGCCCAACAATCAAATTATTAGGCTTACAAAAAATTAGGACAAAGAATGCCCAGGCTACTGGCAGTCTGGCACGGTAAAATGTGATCTTTGGACCTATGTAATTTCCACAATCAGTATTTTAACCCCATTTCTCAGACCATCTCCAAAGACTTCCCAGTTCCCAGTCAGTTGGATGTTCATCAACTGTGACAGCTATGTACAACTACAAGGCTCAAGTGTCAAATAACAGCATAACTAAATATGATCACAGCAGTAACTCCTTGAGGATCAAGAGGACCAGCATTACAAAGCACATTATAACAAGTACTGTTGCACACATCACCATTCCTCCTTTCTTCTGAGTTCTCTCTGCCTGTAAAACCAGGATAACCAAAATGACATCAATGAGACGAGAAGTTAAGGTAAAATTACTAATAGCAAATTATGCACCAAAATGAACTTTTCCTTTACAGAATTAATCCGAAGATGGGTGGTATTAGCAACAGACAGAACATGCTAAATTTCACAGAATTAGAAACTCTGTTCTAGAAAGTTGGAATCGCAGTTCCGTGGGTGATTATGTGTATGCACACATATGAATATGGTATCGTGCCAGCTTGTGCAGGTTAGAGAGAAAGAGTTCGACCTTCTGCAGCTGTTTAAACCCCTCCTCTACCGTTGAAGCAACATTCTGAATATTATAGTCTATTCGATCAACAATTGTGCCCTGCTTGAGAAAATAAGAGCACCTTAATTTGATTAGCGCCCGGCATATATAGATCTACCTCCATGACATGACATGAGATGCAGCTCAAACCTGATCTATCACCAGGAGTGACAAGTCTTTCATGATTTGAGCAACCTCGTGCACTGATTCCATGACCTACAAAAAAATCCTATGTCAATTGAAATGGGACTTGGAAACTAATTCTCAAATAATCAATTAGATGCATGCCAATACCTGTTTGATCTCTCTTTCCTGGTCAGCAGTGAATTGCTCACTCTTCTTTAGCTTAATCATCTGACCCTCATTAAAACCCTACATTTATCAAAAATCAACTCATCAAGCTCTGCACAGATATGGTTGAACAAGCATTATCAATATAGAACTCAAGAAACTGAAAATTCATGATTCAAGTGCCAAAAGTATCTAATTAGAAATTTTTTCTCACTGCAGCTATGGGCTCCGAATTACCCACAACCACAAACTCCTGCAAGAGAAGAAAGGGAGAGGAGGAGGGAGAGGACACCAATCAAATGCCTATGCTCAATATTCAAAGACGTCCTTCACACAGCTTTTTATTTTTTTTTAATGATTTGTGTCCCTCAGTTTTCCATATATGAAAGGATAATTAAATGACTGATTCTGTAAAAGGCAATACAATTAACAAAGTAGCTCGTAGTAAATATAGCCCAAAAAAAGAAAAACAGCATACCACATCACTAAATTCATCATCTTCCAATCTAAACTTGTTCGCGTTTAGGTTCATCTCCAAATCAACCCCATCATGTCCCTGCATCAGCAAATAAAAATTACATAGGAAACAATGAACAAGTAATCATGCAAGATAATTCAACATGATCAAGTAGCCGTGTATCACTTCTTCAACAGCAACAGCAACCTAATCCAACAATAAGATACGAAGGGTATAAGATTACAAGGTGCGAAACCAATGGTGGCCTGGCAACAGCCAATTTTACCCTACACTTTCCTTGCTACTAATATGCATGCATCCATGAGTGCATCCAGACCTCTTTTTGCTGCTGCAGACGTTTTAGATACGCGGACTGTTTTCTACGGAGATCCGTCGACAAGTTCTGAAGTTCAGTTGCAAGTGACCGCTGCAAAAAGAAATCCAACATTAATGACAGACTAATAGAAAGCCATAATCAGAAAGACTTAATGACAGTTAGAAACTTAGAATCATACCATACCTGTACATTTTTTCTAACAGTCGAGTCCTCAAAAGACTCACTTGCAGAAATTTTCTTTAATCTTGTCTCGGAATTTCTCAATAAATCCGTAATCTCTCGAGTAAGACCTTCAATCATTCGTTGATCCTCTTTTCCATCTCCAAACGATGGCATTAAAGCTTTTGCATGCGCCTTAACTAACTCGCCCATTTTGGTTCGAATTCTTTGAATATTCACAGATATTTCCTCAGAATCATCCACCCAGGCAGGCGGCAGACCAATCGTAAAAGCATCACTACTGCACCAAAAACAAAATTTTCTAGAAATTTTACAGAAATCAATCGAGTAGAATTTATTAGAAAGAGATGAAAGAGTTACCTGGAAGTCGAAGGACCTGGATCGTCGGTGCTAAGAGGAGTGTAAGAGGAATGTTTGGACCGAAGAAACGAAGCGCTGACCATTTCCATAACCGGACCGCTAGAACCGGGCAGTGACGATGACAAAGGAGCACGCACGCTCTTCACTGCATCTCGGTGCTTCTTGTACAGTACGGTGCGGTTTCTCGTTGCCATTGATAACAGGAAAAATTGAAACAAGAAGAGAGAAATCGAAGAAAGAAGTTGGAGATGTGAAAATTCACAGTGAATTCTCTCGCTGTGGGCGAGGAATTGGTTTTCTTGGAACTTTAAGAGAGTAAGCAAAGTACGAGAAATAGCGAGCGGAATGGGAATTGCAAATGGAATTGAAATTCATGGGAATTGGGGGGATTTTGAGGGTTTTTGGTGATGACGGAGGCGCTTTGAATTGCATTCTCAACGAATCAGAAGCTTCGATTGAAAAAAACTGACGCAGCTTTGCGCGTTTTTCTGGATTGCGTCTGGGCTAAAGTTTGAGTGGGCCTTGCTCGTGATTTAGGCTTACCTTAGCCCAATCTCTCTCTCTCTCTCTCTCTCTCTCTCTCTCTACAGATTCTCCTTTGTCTTCAATTAAGCAAGTAGTTTGGCAGGTGCTATAAGATTTAGAACAAAGAAGACAAAATGCCACCGTATAATTGATTTTAATTAAATTCTAGACAAACCTCAAATTAGTCTTTCAAATATAAATAATACTCTCCTTTTAAAGTCAATTGTCTCTCCAGAGTGTCAAAAATTCTCAATCAAATTTCTATAATAATGTCCAACAAAATCTATCAAAAACTCATTGACTAAAATATGTGTTGAGGGATTGATTTGACATTTGTTTTAAAAATAATCTGGAGATGAAACAAATGAACTTTTTACCAATTCAATCAATTGTTGTTAACAAACTTGATGAAGGGATTTGATTTAGAATTCCTAAATATTTTTCGAAATATTCTAAACTAGCTAGAGAATCAAATCCAAGGCCCTAAATGATTGTCCCAATCCATTTCGGGCTACACAAGTGTACCCCTCCCAAATGAAATCAATCAGGCTCAACGAATCAAAAGAGGACTAAATTGCAAATGCTGAGATTTTTACCAATCCGATACTCAAAATGCCCATATTTTTAAAAGGAAAGGATTAACCTGCAACTACTTTAAAATGGAAGGATGAAATCAATCACATTATTGCTAGCTGTACAAAAACTCAAAAAAAAAAATAATAATAATAATAACACAAAGGGGGAAAGGAGGAGAAAAAGACAAGAACAACTTAGGTCGGTTAGCTCAGGCCCACAAGACAGAAGAACTTAATTAACAAGGAAATTTTTAGTAACATATCATAAAACCTCCTAGGGGCTTAAAAGTCATACAACATACTAGCATAAAATGATTCACAGTCTTGTCGGTATAAAAAACCGTAATAAGAAGGAATGGTAGTTGAGGGCAGAGGGTAGTTTTTTGTGATAATACGCGGGAGGCCGAGGGTAATTTCATAAATCCCAATTCGTGTTCATTAAGAATCTATTTAATCAACACCTTCTCCCTTATTTCTCTCAAACTTTCTTTTTCCTTCTTCAGCTCTTCTTTCACTGCCATGTACTGCTGCGGCTGCTGCCCTTATTTATACAGAGAGAGGGATAGGTAAAGAACCGAGATACAAAAAAATAAAGGAATCTGCAAAGAAAAAGACACGAAGTTAATTAATTTTTAGTCAGCTTTTTATCGAATTAAAATGGAAGATGATACATGGAGCTTTGGTCTCTCTACTTCTTCTTCAAGAAGCTATCAATCAGCTCTCAAGTCTCTTTCTGGTCAGTTCAAGATTTGTTCTATCATTTTTATATTTGTTTGCTATTTTTCTGTTTTGGCTTTTATTTTTAGGGGTTTTTATTTATTGTCAATTCTAAAAAGTGGGTTTTTGTTGAAACAGATCTTTGTATTGATTTTGAAGATATAGAAGAAGAAGATGATGATTTAAGGACGGAGTATCCGTGCCCTTATTGTACAGATGATTTTGATTTAGTTGAATTGTGCTCCCATATTGATGAAGAACATTATTTAGAAGCCAAGTCGGGGGTATTTTACTTTACCCTTTTTACTCTTTCAAAATATCTTGTTCCTTTTATTTATTGTGTAGCTGCCTTCTATTAACTGCTTGCTAAGTAACTATTTACTGCAGTGCTGTTCGTTGCTTTTTATTGACTGCTGGGTAGAACCTTTTGAATCATTAATTTACCATCTTTCTCTTTTTAATAGTAACTTGGCCTGAAAAGTTTGGTGTATCTATTAAAGCCTTTCGTAGTTCAGCTTTTATGCGTTTGTAATCTGGACCATGTGCTTTTATCGAAGAGTTATTGGACTTGTAATTGTTGACATTAATCTTCCTTGAACATGGCATTGTTATTCAACAGGTCACTGAGCTTCTTACTAATGCATGATTTGTTATTCAAGTTTCTGCATATGACTTTGAACATTCTCATTTGGATTACGCTATCGCCTTTCAATTCATTTCTCTTGCACTGATCTAATGGATCATGTTTTTTTGAATTACAAATTTATCTTAATTATGTTGAGTAGTACCTGAAATGAGAAATTTGTCTGGATGAATCTGTTGACAAACCTAAACTGATACCAATCTGTTTGGTTAAGAGAAAGGAGGAGGCCTTAAGTGAATCTGTTCGCATGTCCAAGGTTCACTTAGTATGAACTAGTCATCATCAGTAAAATGAGGATCTTTGTTTGTTGGGCTAGCCAAGCTTGATATATAATTCTTAAAGCACAATTTGCTTATAATTGCCTATTTGTGTTTGCAGGTATGCCCTGTTTGTTTCACCAAGTTGGGGATGGATATGGTTGATCACATAACAACAGAACATCGAACCATTTACAAGATATCCTTTTTTGTTTGTTTGGAAATTATTTATCTTTTCACCTCTTTTTACTTGATATTTACTTGCCATTTTAGTTACTGCATCTTGTCCTTTTACAGTCAGTCGAATTGCTCTTAGTTTTTTATTTAGACTTGAGGCCATGTCTACATCCTTGACTAGAGATTACAGCTTGCAAAAATTGAAAATTCAGAAAGGTGAGTCACACTTGAATTCTTCTTTTCTGAAGAAGGAGTTAGAGGATGGATATTTGCAATCAGTACTTAGCGGATCATCCTCGGTGGTTTCTTCCTCCAATTTGGCACCTGATCCATTGTTATCATTTCTTTGCAATGTATCCCCTGCTGAGAAATTGGAAAGTGTACAGCCTACTAGTTCAATTAAAGCGTCCTTAGAAGAGAAAAGCTCAGATGTGAAACTGTTGGAAAGGTCAGTTGTTTGGTTAGGCTTTATGACATCAAATGAATGTGTGCTAATGTTTGTTCTAAATTTTTTTTCTGGAAAAAAAAATCGAAGGACTAGTTCTTGACAAGGTAAAAGAAATGCAAGATGACAGATTGCAGATGGTTGAAATATTATAAAAGGTTAGCTTATATAGTGAAGTCAAAGTGTGGAAAGAGAATTTGAAAATGCAGATAAAAAATGTCTGCACCACTCCTCATTTGGGGCTATTTTGTTCGATCTGCAAACCTTTTTCATAATTTTTTTTGCTGAAATAGTTTTGATCTGATATCGAAGGGCAAGATACGGGATTGGAGGGTCACAGCAGTTCCAATTTTACAAGTGCAAATTATTGCTAATTTGTAGTGAACAGTGATGACAAGAGTTGGATGCATATGCCATTTTAAGAATGGTGCGAGAGCTATATGATAGGTGCGATCGCACTGCCATCATAATAGCAAGCACATGGATTCTTCTGTGTGTGGAAAGAATAAAACTGAACTCTAGGGAGGTTGTAATCAAATATTCCTAAATAGGAAGGGAAAAAATATTAGCAAAGTGGCAATCATGATAAAACAAGAAAGCCCTACATTTGATTCCAGGCTCAATGTAATCTTGAAGTTCCTGTTGTTTGATTTATTGTCTTGATGTTGTCTGATATTTTGCATTTATAGGATGAGGATTATGATTCTGCAAAGATTGTTCATATTAATACCTTAACTTGATTGTTTTCTTGCAATATCAACTCTGTTTAATATATTTATGATTGCAGGAATGATCATGTATCACCTTTGTCAGATGAGGAACACATGGAGAAGGCAAAGAGAAGTGACTTCGTACAGGGACTGTTATTGTCCACCATATTTGATGATGGCCTATGATGAAACACAATACTATCGTTGTTGGTTGTCTTGTAGCAAAACAATTCTATTGTCAACTCTGTCTATGTTGAATATACCTTGACTAAGAGAGCCAGATTAGATGCAGCACTGAATTGTATCCACAGTTGTAAGTAATCTGTGAGGCCAGATCGGAGCCAGAATTTTATGTGCTTTAATTTTCAAAGCTCCTGTGCTTAATTGAAATGTAGCGTTATTCTTCTATCAAAGTTTCAAATGCCAATAATGTGCAATTTTGCCTGCGAATTTTTGGTTATGACTGATGAGGTTCCTGGTGGTGATTCTGCCACTAATCATGGGTTTCAATTGCTGGTAGCCTGGTAGTGGTATGATTCTTCAATATATGGTCTCCATGATACTTGTCACTTAGTCACAGACGAACCTTGAAATATCTCATCCCGATTGGTGAGCGTCGCCAATTTAAAAAGAAGCTTCGTGCATGCGTTCTCCCGAACAGCCAAACATAGGATGAGAACTGAAAAGGCTCGAGGAAAAGCAGCAAGTCAAAAGTTAACTGACGGCCTGATGGAATGCCCATGCGATACTGATGGACTTTGAGCCGATTTCATCAAAGGTCCATTTCATTAGACAAATTTAATTTATTCACGTCAAAAGAGAACCGATAAAAGGAAAACTAAAACGCGTCTACTTTAGAACTTAGACAAATTTAATTTATTCACCTCAAAAGAGAACAGATAAAAGGAAAACTAAAACACTTCTACTTTAGAACGGAGAGTTTCGAAGCACCGCGAGACTGAAGCCAGTACCTGGTTAGCTGCTTTCGCCGAGTCTGCTGGCGAGGGGTCTTTGCTTGCGGCCAAAACAACTTCCAATTTCGAACTTCATAATGCTTAGGTTCTTTTTCTTTTCTTTTTCTTTTTTTCTCAAATAGGAGTCATTGCAAACGACACACTCGTAATTTAAGTTTTAGGATAGAAAAGTTCGCTTGATTCAATTCCGTCATTTATGTCCAACTCGGTCACAGAATCAAAAGGGTATACGTATATTTCTGAATTCGTCATTAAATAGCAAACTGTTCTATTTTAAGTGCAAACAGAAAACTTCAGACCAACTAAATTTACATCAGCCATGATGAGCAAGTAATACCTATGCAGCCTATGACTTGATCCAAAAATGTCCTGCCAAAGAATGAAGTGCAAGGTGGCCTATGGCTCTGGACGAAGCTTCCTTAATAGCCATTTTTTTCGCAATTTAACATCCAGTGCCATAAATGTCTTTGCTTTCAATTCATCCTCTAATAAATCACAGGCATCTAATACAAGGTCTTCGTCCATGTCTGGTAAAGCTTGGATGGCTTCAATTACTTTCTCTATTGCGAGGGAGTTTGAATTCTCATCCTTCCTTTTATCTGATAAAGATGAAACTGCAGTTGCCATCTCACGAAGGGCAGTTGCCATACCTTCCTCATCCCCGCAAGGCTTTTTGGAGGGAGCAGAATTTGATTGGTTTTCTAATTGACGTTTGTTCTTCTGTTTAGGAACACCAGATTTTGAAGCTGTATGAGCAGACTCCAAGATATCACCAACATCATCTTCACTGAAATTTGATGCGGCTGGAGGAGACTGATAGCTCAGTGGCATTCCACAAGAGTTGCGAATCTTGAAATCATTTTGCAGCTCTGCATATTGAGCGAAGAAGCAATCTCTTTCATCACTGTCTTGATCACTGCATATCGTACACAAATCTTTATAATATGGGATAGGCCGGGTCATGAGCTGCCGTGCATCTGTATGGGTCTGCATGTTATCATATCGAAGGCTTTTATGAGATTCTTGCTTCAACGTCATACAACTATTATCCAATTTAATAATCATTAATTGGTTATGGATTCCAAATTCTGTAAAAAGACACATACCTTGATATAGTCTTGCCAAACATAATCGTCGGCAGTTACCATTTGACGAGCATCATCCCAAGCAAACCCATCTAATTCAAGGAGATTCTTTATGACATTATGCTGCCTTCTCAGAGTTTTGTAGCGATTTTTCAAAACATCCACGTCATAGTTAAACCCGAACTTAGCATTGAAAGATGCTATCATGTCCACCCATGCTTGTTTCCGGAACACACCATCAATCTGATTTCCTTTCTGCCATTGTTTGAGCATAAGGTCAATGAAATAGCGGTCCATTGGTGGTTGCCAATATGTCCGAGTGCGGTTGCTTGCCATGCTTCCTGTGACATTTGGTGTGGCCTCTTGCACAGCATCCCCTACCCCATTTGGCACGGAGCCATCTACTACTTCTGAAACACATATTCTGTAATCTTCGTCAATTGTAATTTCTTGAAGAATTTCCACACCCCCTCACTACCAATCTTTGACTGAGTGGTGGTGACCGCTTCATTCTCAGAAATTAGTGCCAAAGGCAGTGGCTCTGGCACATGGTCACCTGGGAACCAACCATCAAGAGACAGTGACAGATTTAGAACTAAATCCTTGACAGTCCTTGTGATTCAGACATATGACTGCCAAGGACAACATCAAGATTAGATTCTTTACCTTTTTCCTCAATGGTTGGATCTCCATATATTAAGCACAAATCGCTATAATATGGTATAGTTTTTATTCTGAATGCACGTGCATCTGGACGAATCTGCAACTATAACACATGAGATTTCAAGTATATAACAACAGATCTTTTCAAGATAATCAAAAGGGAGAAGCATTTCACCTTAATATATTCATCCCAAACATTATTATCAGCTGTTACCATTTGACGATTTTCATCCCAGCTGAAGCCCTTGTGATCAAGGAGCTTCTTGACAGCCTTATACAAATTCCTCAGTGTTTTGTGCCGATTTTTCAAAACATCCTTTTCACATTGGAATTTGAATTTTGCATTGAACAAGTAGGTCATATGCTTCCATGCTTTCTTGCTAAATAAATGATCATCAAACTTGTTTCCATTGCTGACCTGCTCTAGTAGAAGGTCAATAAAATACCGATCCATTTCAGGGGTCCAGATTGTCCGAAGACGATCATTACCATTTCTGGCTCGGATGCCCATTTCAGCAAATTCTAAACTGCCCTGCTTGTTAAAAAAATGTATCAATTAATAGTTAATGCGAAGAAAATCTCTTATTTCCAGTTGCATTTCTCAAAATATACTACCAAGCATAACACCATAAAGTCATTCTGTTTTCCATGTCAAGCCAAAAATCCTCAATGTTTAATTCCTACAAGGCTGTTATCCAAAACCGGTATCGGTTTCCCGAACCAAAGAAGCCCTGGACCCAGTCCTGCCCCAAATCCAATCCCCATCTGAACCCTAGCACCAGCCATTTCCTAACTCTCAAACCCAACCTAACTCTCGAAACATATGCTAGAAGTATAGATAACCTGTTTTGAATTTATTCTTTTCTCCAAAAGTTTTGGTTTTCAAAATTTGTTGGCAATTTTATTTTCTCAAAAACAAACAAGTTTTCATATCTAGTTGAAAACGAAAACAGAAAGGAACTCGATACCAAACAACCCCTAATTTATTGAAATGATGATCCATGCCCTCAGATTGAAGAACATGGGCTATTGATTATGATGCACCGACATTAAGATGATCGTTATGGCGAAATGCTGTTGTTGTTCCCTCAATGATACCAATTTTATTATAGTAAAAAGAAAAAAAAACCCAAAATAAAATACAATAGTGACCGTCGCATTGTTTTTTTGTAACAATTCCACAACCCTAGGAATTGTTAGTCTTACAGAGAAAATTGGGGAAAATAAGAGAGCAGAGTAGATAGAGAGAAAACGAAATATTGTAATTGGAAACTCTAGCTCAAAGTTTATAATGAACTCCAGGCCAAACTTCATGAACAGCAGGAGCAAGTACAAAAACTACACGGAATGTTTCAGGGGCATCGTCCTTGGACAGAAATTGGAAACTCCAAGCTCAAAACTTTGTATATGCTACTCTACAGAAATAATCCCTATCAATACTGCAAGGAAGCGCAGCCATAACAGTAAAAAAAAAGAATGCTTTGATATTGTGGCATCTTCCCTGTTAACTGGTCCTAAATTCCTGGGACCGTTGCATTCTTAAAGCCAGCTAGTTTCAAAAAAAAAATGTCAATCACCTTCAACTATTAAGTGATTTTTTAATCAAACAGAGACATGTATAGAAAAGAGATGATTATTGTAGAGAAGAAAGAAGAAACAGAGAGCTGATAAAACATCATCTAACAGGGAATAACTTTGAAAGATAGAGATAGCCATGAGGAGGAATTAGTTCAAAACGCACCTGGGACTGGGAGATGTATAGGAACGGATCTGGTTTCTGTGTCAGGAACAATCAATTGGGGTTTCTGCAAGTTGGATTAGGGATAAGGCTTTTCATGGATAGGTTGAAATAGCGGCCCCGTTGGAGTACAACGAGAACCTAGATAGGTTCATCACGATTTTGACAAGGGATAAATACTATATATAAGTATACTAACTAAAATTTTTCAATCCAGTATATGATTTTTAATATTTTACGTTTGAATATATTAATCATTAAAAAAATATCAATCAATTGTTTTTTTAATTTTAATTTTTATTAATTAATAATGTGTCCGTTGCTTTTGAAATATCAAATTGTAAATTTTTTTTCCTCGATCGAGTATATTTTTTATAATTTTTTATTTGAATACATTAGCTTTTACAAAATTATCAATTAAATATTTTTATCAATTTTTAGATTAATTGATGAAGTATATATTACGCTTAAAATATCAAATTTCAAAATATGTTATTTTTAGAATACCAAATCATAAATTTGCTTTATTTTTTTATTGGAGGAAACTTACTTTCTAAATTATTTGATAATTTTCAAATTTGATTAAAAAAAATTAACAAAACACTATTTTTTAACTATAAAACTTTCAATTAATTTCAGTTAGTTTTAAATGTAAAAAATTGAAGAGAAATGTAAAAGTGAGATTTTTTATCAAAAAAATATTTCTAATATTTCTAGTGAACATTGGTAGGGGGTATTCAAGAAGTAACGAGCAAGTCATTAGTTATTAAAAAAATTAATAGAAATATTTGATTGATAATTTTTAAAAATTTGATGTATTCAAACAAAAAATTAAAATTCATGTATTTTTTTGAAAAAAAAAGTAAAAATATAATTTAATATTTTAAATTATAATTTAAAATTAATTAGTTAGTTACCAAAAAAATTAATAGAAATATTTGATTGATAAAAAATTTGATATATTCAAACAAAAAAATAAAATTCATGTATTTATTTAAGAAAAAAATAAACATATAATTTAATATTTTAAGAATAATGAACACTTCATCACTTAATAGGAAAAAAAATTGACATAAATGCTTGATTGAGGAAAAAATATATATATAATTTGATATTTTTAAGAATAACAAACACTTTATTACTTATAAAAAAATGATATAAATACTTAGTCGATAGCTTTAAAAAATTTAATATACTCATATAAAAAATATTATAATTTATATATTCTATCAAGAAAAAGTTAAAATTAGTATAATCGTTGTGCAATTGTCTCATTTTGGCAAGCACGTCACAGTCCAACATTATGTATTTATTTATTATTACTATTGTTATTATTTTTACCTTGATAGTCGGAGTAAGGTAGGAGTATTCTTCCACCAAACTAGCTGCCATCCATAAAAATAAAAATTTCTCGTGGACTCCAATGGATCCTGCCCTCCTGTGGACTTTCCATGGATCCAGCCTTGGTTGATAAAGTGTAAAACTTACCCAATTTATCCAAGTTAAACACGTAATGGGCCCATTTGGATGTCAGAAGAAGAGATTCATCAAAATCGGTGATGATGGATCCGAATAACAATTTAATTTCTACGTTATGTTTGGAGTTTGGACTGATATATTAACTCGAATATAAACGTCTTATTAATAGTTTTTTTAAAACGAAAAGATAATGACTAAAAAATGACTCCATTTATGGTGGTGAGAGGGGGAATTGACGATGGTAGAGGATTGTGACAACGATGGCCATGGTATATAAGAGGTTGGATTTTTGATTGAATTGAATTTAATGATATTTGGCATGGGGATTTTTATACATCTTCATGAAATGTGATTGTTAGAAATTTAATTACCAAGAATGTCATATTTGTATTTTATTTAAGATGCTGCTAAATCTATTAACTAAATTATTATTTTTACTCTTGTTTTATATAATTATTAATATATAATTTAACAATTATCAATAACTATTATATAACACATATTAATAGAGGTTGTATTGATGATTTAAAAAAAAATTGATGTGAGTAATAATTTAATTGATGAATTTAATAATATTTTTTGTTTAAACTAAAAATATGTAGTAATGTATTTTTATCATGTTTGATTCACTAAGGAGAAGTTTAAATAAATTTACTATTTCAATACCGAGACTTAAAATATCTAATTTATTAACATAATACTTTAGTTGTAAATAACTATGCACAAAAACACATATATAATATATTAATCATATTTTAAACAAATTTATGGACATGGTTTTTATTTTTAAAAAATTTACATATACAATATATTAATTATATTTAAAACAGCTTTCCAACATGATTTTTTTCTAAATAATTATGCACATAAACACATATATAATATATTAATTATATTTAAAATTATGTATTAAAATGTTATGGTAATTTTGATATTATCGATAGAAACAACGGCATCTTAATTTGTTTTTTTTAAAAAAATCAAGGGCATAAAGTCCAAAAGAAAAAAATTTACTCCCACCCAAAAAACATGATTCCCTTCAATTTATGAGGTCGTCATATTCTAGCTCCAGAGGAAATGTGATGTTCTAAAACATCTCGAATGTAACATTTATGGATAAAACCATCAAAAATATCTTTAGCATTTTAGATTACGTGGTAGAAAAAATATAAGATATTTCCATACCAAACACCCATTTACAGTAAAAAAAAAATTAAGTCCTTTTTTTTTTTTTTTTTTCTGGCTAGGTAATATCATAACTCACAAACAGACATGACTACTTTTATTCATTCAATTGATAATATATAAATACATCAACTTTGAATATTTTCTAATTGATTTTTTTTTTAGTTTCAGTATATTGATTTTTTTTAAAATTTGTCAATCCAATATCTTGATCCAACTTTTGTGAATTGTTTTTTTATTTAATAACGTGTCATTTGTTTCAAATTACTATTATGATTTTTTTTTAATACTAAAGAGAACTTAATGACAAAATAATATAAAAAGAAAAGTTTCATCTGAAAGAATAAAATTATAGTTTAATAGTATAATTTACTTTGATAAAGGAATTTAAATTTAATTAGCAGTTTAAAATATTTTGACGTAATTAAATAAAAAAATAAAATTTACATAATGATTAAAAAATGTTAAAAATTAATGTAATCATAGTATAATTCTCCCAAAAATAATCGAAAGAAATAGCTACAAGCATTTTACCTTGATAAAGGAGTTGAATGTAACCACATTGTTTTGACATCAACGTTATCATCAGCTCCATATATATATATATATATACACACACTAAAGATTTGGAAGTTTTCGCCGTCTATTATTGAAAATTTTTCAACCGTTGAAGTCCTACTTAGCATAGTGCCATTCTATTGCGACTGTTAAGTGCCGTGTGTTAATTAGATTGAATAATAAAATAAAAAAGAGAACCAAAATATTAGCCAGCAGCCAATGATCCTTTTTTTTTTTTTTTTTGGGTTAATGCCAATGGCCCCAATAATCATTAGCAATTTTGTCCCTATCGTTTTGCTGACGAGGTCAGCGCGAAATTATTCAACGACGAGTATGATAATTATTACTACTAGTTTAAATAAAAAAGAAGAAAAAAGTAAAACAGTCAGAATCAGGAAGTGGGACCCAGTTGCGGCGAATCGTCCGGCTGAGAGGTGAGAGGCCAATGAAATAGAGATTAGACCACAAAAAAAAAAAAAAAATGAATAAAAGAATAAAAGGGAAGGGAAAACGAAACAAAAGAAAGCCTTGCTTTTTTGCTCTCTTTTCTTTTCTTGAAATTCTTTAGTCCATAAAATCGCACACAGTGAATTGAATCTCTCCTTTTCTCTTTCTGTCTCTCCAACCATACAAGACAAGCAAACCTAACAAGGGAGATCCCAACTCCTGTTCTTCCCTCGACTTCATCTACAACTACCTTCTAATTCGATTTCTTTCCTCCTTTAAAGAGGACTCCAGAGGAGAGGAGAAGCGAGTTTTAGTCAAGTTTATTAAGCAAAACCCTAACATTCTCGGACGGATTCGACAAGCAAACAAAACAGAGTATCATCTTCTGGCCATGCGACTCTGGCTGTCTGCAAACTCCCTCTCGAGAGAGGATTCCCAGTATACCCTTTCTGTTTCTCAAATCGCTGCTTTTTTTCGGTTTACAAGAAATGTCTACCACCGATTCTCATGCTCACTCCCATATTAATCCCAAGCAATGTCTTCTCTGCAATGCCGCGGCTGGTGCTGCTGCAGGTACCATCTGTTTTTTTTCTTCAATTTTCTCTAGCTCAGATCAATTAGTTGATTGAAATATTGATTTCTTTTCTTTTTTTTTTTTTTTAATTTGGATGCAGGAGCAATTGCTGCTACATTTGTGTGTCCTTTAGATGTTATCAAAACTAGGTTTCAGGTTCATGGTCTGCCAAAGTTTGATGTTGCTAATAGTAGTGCTAAAGGTTAGAAAATCAAGGAATGTAAAAATTGAAATTAGTTCTTAAACAATTGCAAGGTCCTTGTAATTTGCTCATGAGTTACACTTTTTTTTCCTTAATTTTGGTCAGGGAGTCTTATAGTTGGTAGTTTGGAACAAATATTCCAGAGGGAGGGGCTGCGTGGTATGTACCGGGGGCTTGCTCCAACTGTGCTAGCATTGCTTCCTAATTGGGCTGTAAGTCGCAGTACTATCATTCAATTTAGTTGCCTGCTCATTCCTTATAAGTAGGAATTTCAAGAATAGGGAATTTTGTTTCTAACTTATGCTTTATATCACAGCATTTATTTTTTGTTATAGAACGAAGGCAAGTTGACTTAGATTTGCAGTTTTAGTTTGTTTGGAGTGTATGATTATGTTTGCAAGTATGTTCAACTAAGTCGGAGCTTGCTTATGGGAATTAGAGGACAGAAAACATCTTTAAACTCTGTTATTATGCAGTTAAATTTGTGTGAGTTCTTGTAAGATGCTTGAATTGTAAAAACATGGTGCGTGAAAATGATGAAAGAAGAAAATAATCCATTCACAAGATTGAATGAACAATGACTGATTTGTCGAACTCCTCAATCTAGAAATCATTTGGCAAATTCGGTACCATAGCACAAGCTATTTACAGTGCTGCCATGCATTGGATCTTTTAGGTGCTTCATTGACTTGGTTCTCTATCCTCAGAATAAATAATCACTAGTTAAAACTGAGGCCATGGGTTGAATTCTGAAGATAATGAAATTTACTTGGTCCAAAATTATAATCTTTGATTCTCTTTTCTCATTTGTCCTTGCTTTTCCAACCTCCTTTTTCTTCATAGAGCATGCTGCTTTCAATTTTCTCCGTCAAAATGACCTAATTTTATCATTTTTGCAGGTTTATTTTACGATATATGAACAGTTCAAAAGCTTTCTTTGTTCCAATGGTTAGTGCTAATTTGTTACTTTCACTGGCGATAAAACAAAGCCTGACTGATACTTTCTTTTATCCCCTGTTGCATAGTTTTTCTTAACATTTGTCTCACTGAACATTTTTCTGTATTAATGAGCTCATGATTGTGTTACTTGTGTAGATGAAGGTTATCCTCTTTCAATAGGTGCTAATATGATAGCTGCTTCTGGTGCTGGAGCAGCAACAACTATTTTCACAAATCCTCTTTGGGTTGTAAAGACAAGACTTCAAGTGCGTCATTCTAATTCGTGTCTTATTTTGTCTGTTACTATAAAAAAGATGCTACTTAACCTAGACTAACCGATAGAAGCATCTAATGAATTTTTAGCCCAAGTTCCTTTTTCTTGCACCTTGCAGATTTAGCAGGATGCAAATTTTTTAAACCTCTAGCTTGTTTGATTCATGCTTTTTGTTTGTATCCATGCTGAACATGCTATGCCCACACCCATGATGCACATTCAAGTAGGATGTGCGAAGTTTGAGCTCACATGATGGAGAGGAGAGGACCTTCTCTCGAGTTTACATTTGTTATTATTTCGGATGAGTAAGATGCCTTATTCGTCCAGTCAACAACAATGTTAATGTCTATGTGAAACCAGGTAGCATTAGATGCATCAATGTGCTTAGGAGCAACTTTTATTTTTTCCTTTTCTTTTTGTTGTTAAATTTAGTTTCTTGTGATTATTATTTAGCTTTGATTTATTTTATGTAATATGGTTTTGCAGTATGTTCATAAGTCATGACCTTGAAATTTATGCATTATTCAAGATAATGGTAATTAATCTTCTATACATGCCAATGACTTGTTCTGATGTGGAAAATGGAAAAATAGAGGAACAAATAAATTGAACATATAATCATTTAGTAGGCCACTAGCTGGGAAGATAAGTGGATGCATGCATGTTTCAATGTGCTGAGGTGGTCAGCATTCACAGTGTTGTTTGCTTTTGTTCTGCAGACTCAAGGAATGAGAGCAGGTGTTGTTCCATATAGGAGTATGCTGTCTGCTTTGAGAAGAATAGCTCACGAGGAAGGGATCCGTGGGTTGTACAGGTATTGAATTCTACAAAGAATATCGTTAGACTGCGTTAAATATTTATGTCTTTAGTTTGAAGATGAGATTTAATAATACTCGAGATCTTTTATGTGTCAATCAGTGGTCTTGTGCCTGCATTGGCTGGGGTCAGTCATGTTGCCATCCAATTTCCAACATATGAGAAGATCAAAATGTACTTGGCCACCCGAGGTAATTTTTATAACCAGATTTAATCTCTTTAGTAATTTCAAACTGGAAAGAACTGTTTTGAAGTTAATGTCTTGTTCCAGATAATACCACTATGGATAAACTAGGTGCACGTGATGTTGCTGTTGCGTCATCAGTATCCAAAATATTCGCTTCGACATTGACATATCCTCATGAGGTATGTTGTTGAAAAAATATCCGATTTCTTTAGTTAATATATCTGTGATCACTAATCAGCATGAGAAAGGTCATTGATGCTCAACTGCCTCCCCACCTTCTCTAAGGTTCAGGCAGCTCTATAATCTTCGATGGTCTTCTTTCTGGATTATTATTTTTTTCCTAAAGTGAAAAGGTTGGATGGTGAAATACTTGATGGTTGTAATGGAAGTTCTATTTCATTTTTGAGCAACCAGAATCAAAAAAATTTTGAAGCTGCCAGTAATTGTTGAATCGTTGACAAGACTATATTGTTTCTAGTCATTTTATAGGATTTAACCTTTTTATATATTGAAGAATGAAGAGTGCAGTGAATTTTATCTTAAAAAAATAAATAAATAAATACAATCTTATGATGCAGAAGCTTTCGAGGGTTGCAAGAATCACTTACCATTCAAGTTTCAGTTCTATGAGCATTTGACATAGTTTGAAGATATAGAAAATAGATAAATATGAGAATTGTGCTTACTAACAAAAAAATGTACCCTGAATTCTTAAGGACTTTCCCTGGAATCCTGTGAAGTGACGAGAGACAACTTTAAAAAGTGTTCGCTTATTTCATTTCCCCACCAAAAAATTGTTAAGGAAAAGCTATCCCAGATACCTCTATTGCCTATATAGAAACAACAGCCTGTCCAAGCCATTAACTTCTACGGAATGTTTGGTGTGTCAACATAAACCCACAGCTCCATGCATCAACTCCTGTAAGCTTCTTGCTTACTCTCCAAGTAACAGTAAATGCTTGACTAGGATTTGTTGGTAGCTGTCTTGCTTGACAGAAATACTAACATATCATTTTTTTTTTCACATGATTTTGCAGGTAGTACGCTCAAGGCTTCAAGAACAAGGCTTCCACTCAGAAAGGCGTTACTCTGGTGTGGTTGATTGCATAAAGAAAGTATTTCAACAAGAGGGTCTCCCTGGATTTTATCGTGGGTGTGCCACCAACCTTATTAGAACAACCCCAGCTGCTGTTATCACGTTCACCAGCTTTGAGATGATTCACAGATTTCTCGTTACCCTTTTTCCTCCTGATCCACAGCCTCACACATTGTGAAGATGAATCTTATTTGAGAATGTTGCACGGATAGATACAACTTGCATTGCCTTGAACTGCATTGTTGAAGGGCAGATGAGGTCAGTCAGTGTCATGATGTCTTTGTGGTGATCCTTTTTCTAGATTATATTTATGTATTCACAATTGTCTCGGGTAGTTTGTAGAAATTGGATGGCATTGACAGTGATAATTATGTTACATGGGGAGTGAATATTCACATCCCATCATTGAAATTTTGCAACATGAATTTGTCATATGGGGAGTGAATATTATGTTACATTGACAGTGATAATGACGATAAAAATAGATACTCAGAAATTTTCATATCGAACATTCTTTTATGACTAATAATTAATAATTGAAATTCATTTAACGTTGTCTACTAAATATTTTACATGCTGCATCCCCTCATTTAATGTTGTTTGCTCTTCTTGCCATGTGATATGTTGCATAAAGATTGTCTCTTCTTGCCATGTGATATGTTGCATAAAGATTGTACTTTTTATGCTCGAGATGGCAACTAAACTTAAACAACTACCTGCGTAATGCTGAAATGCTCTTCACAGTGATTGGTATTATTAACTTGTTATCTTTAGTGAGGAGCCCTTGGTACTTTGCTGGGACATGCCAACCTTTTCAGTGATTACAAGCAATCGAATGGGTGAGTACGCCAGATGAAAATTGGCCATAATTAATGCAACTCAAGGCTGGTGAACGAGAGCGATCCTGGATCGAGTTTTGTTTCTGATATAAATATCTGTGTTAAGTACCTCAGCACATTCATTGCGAGAAACCCAGTTAAAGAAGAGGCTCTCAGATCTTATGGTACAACTGGACTGCTGTTCAGGGAAGGGATACGAATATTCGAAGGCTTTGGTGGTAAGCCTGTCTTTATAGTTGCCAACACAAGAATAAGATTCTTCCCATTGGATCAAGTAATTGCCCCTAGATATCATGCTTGCATTTGTGGGCTTTCGAATATAGAATCGGCTTCCTTCTCATAAAACGAAACAAAATAAAGTAGAAAATTGTAGGTTTGGTTTTGTAAATGAGCAATATTTTGACCTTTCAGTTTCAATTAGCAAGCCCATGCAGGAATGGATTCTGATTTCTGACCCGTTTGCCAGTCGTAGGGTAAACAACCAAGGCATGGACAGCAGGGTAATATTGAGCCAAAGAATCCTTTAGCTTTGGGAAGGTATGTTGTCTGAATCAAGGGATCTCTGTATATTTTCTCATTACAAAAGGGACACAAAGGAGGGGGAAGAATAGAAAATTAAGCATCGCCTTGGTTGGATAACTCAATTGTCTAATCACCCAAAAGTTTCTGTTCCAGATGGGATAGCCAATTTAAAGGTTTACCTCGGCAGCTTCCTAGCACATTAAAGCTTTATTATCATTCAGACTAAGAAGAAAAATCCTTATCCCATCGAGAGAACTGAATTATGAGGCCCTTAAAAAGGTATGCCCCACTGAAAAGCTTGAGGACTAGAACAACGAACGTGATTTGAAAAATCTTCTCCTCTTTTCTATCCCCTGATGCCAGTTATAAGTGTACTGATAAAGGGATAGTGCCCATAATTTGACAACGCGTTAGCTGAAAAAGGGAATCCTATGAGCCTCATCTCCTCATTGGAAGATTAAGACAACAGAGTTAGAGCCAAGAGGTCAAGTTAGTTAATCAATGAAGCCTTTTATGACATTCTACGTACAAGAGAACTCTCTTGTTTTTCCCCATTTTGTTGGAAAACTGAATTTAAGTTATTGATAGAAGCAAGAAAGCTGAGCCATTAGATGTGGTCAAAAGCTGCTCAAAACACTTTAGACAAATGAGGCTAAGCTCAGAAAAGACATTCCTTGAAGCAGATTATGTAGAAGAATGGACAAAACCCTTAATTTCACCTTGATATTCTATGTGCCTGGGTGGTCAGTCTTGGTGATATTGCAACAGGTACCATTCTCAGTATAATAGGAAGGCATGGGTGCTCAAGGACTGCCCTTTCATTACTCATAATAATTTGGTTTAAAAAAAAAGGGAAGAAAGAAAAGAGAGAGAGAGAGAGAACAAGGAGTGCAATGGTTTCATAATTTATTGGGAATGCTTGTTGCCCCACCAACAATTATAAAACCAAAAAAAATAAAAATAAAAACAACAACCTATGATGCTCCTCTGCTCTCTTCTTTTCTTTATACCTTTGATTAAGGTTAAACCAAAAGTTTAAACAAGGAGCACTTGGTTGCAAACTCATGAACTAAAGATTACCTACTGGCTGGCAAATTTGGTCTCTTAACAAACTGTCATTTCTTGAGTGTAAAGGCTTGACTTTTTCTAAATTATATCCTTACTTATTACGTGAGATTCGCTTAGTAGTTTCTAACTGTATTTTGTTGTTAGATTTCGCTGGTGTTTGCTTTCCAGGAGGAAATTAGTCTTTTCCTTTTTGACATTCTGGCCAGCAAAGAATAATAATTGTAATGATTGCTACGTGTCTTTAACTTTGCCCATGACGTGGCCACTGTTTGTACTAAGCTTCATTCCTTCTATAGAAAACCTAAAGTTACGCTTCGAAAGCCACTGTTTCTGGTTAGTGCACTAGTGGGAATTATTCAGCCTTCCCAGTCTAGGCCCCTGTTTCCCCTGCCTTGGAGGCTGGAGCCCTCATGAATCAAAGTGGGCAAAAAAATTAAAAAAATATAAAACTCCAACAACATAGATTTTATTTATTACAGATTGTTAAATGTTCTGATGATGCAAAAGTATTCTTAATAAATTCCTACAGGCACCAAATTGTAGGCAATTGAGGTTGGTGGTTCTTCTTCCTAGTATACATCTTGCTTGTATATTGTTCACATTTCGCAATCCTTTTTGCCTTTATTACTTATTAGTTACACAACATTCCGTATCCATCTATTCATACATTTGGCCAACTCCGGTCCTGAACCTAACCAGAAAAAAAATGGAAATAAATAAATAAACAAAAGTAGGAGTATTAAGATGGCCATTTCGTTCAGTTGTGTGGATAAGATGACGCGTGTGCTCCCATTATATGATGTGGCTCACCATCTTCACGGCATGAATCTGCACATTCCTGCACCAGAAAGTGATGTGCACCTTCACTGTAATTCAGCGAATATAATCATGTTAAGGAGCCAGAGGTCAAATTTGTGGGTTCACCGAACATGTGCAGCTGATAATTAAGGGCAGTTAAAAGGAAATATGATTACTTATTTGATAACTTTAACAAACCAAAATCTTAGTGTAACATAACTTTCCTCGAGTTTAATTACAGCATTTGCAATAATAGTTCAACAATTAACTACCTTTTGTGTACAATACAGGAATATGATTAGGGATCTAATTTAAAAGCAATTTAATCATTTTCTTTATATATATATATATATATATAAGAAGGTTTGGCTTTGGCCAAAATGGCATCTGGGATTTTCTCTAACAAACACAAAAAAGCTTACGTGCTTATTTCTAGATGGTATGGAGTACGGACCAGCTTTATATCTTTTCAACGAGATCAAAGTGGCTTCAAACTGATTTTTTTTTTTTTTTTTTTAGCATTAATCTGATGTGAATATGGGGAAAAAAAAATTGTGAAAATTTAACAAGAATAAATTTGGTTTGATTTGGTTCCAATTGAAAGAGAATGCTGCATGTTTGCTTATATGGACATGATTAATAACTCAGTTTGTTTTTATATGATAAATTTTTTTAATTGAATTAATTTTATTTTTTGATACGTTAAATTTTTTTAATTTATCTTTTTAGCAATATTTTTAAATTAAACAATTAGAATTAATCACTAATTTAAAAATAATTTTTTTTGCCTAATTTGCAATGATATTTTGAAAATAAAATATAACAATTTACAAATCACAAAACTAATTTTATTGATTTTGTTTGAAAATTTTATCAGAATAATACATTAAAAACTTAAGGTTTATTCAAATATAAAATTAACTCAATTTAAAATATAATAATAAATTAAACCATTAACCCATGTGAAACAATAATGCTTCCATTCAGTTTTGGCTTGGGCATTTTGCATATTTCTATACGAGCCATTTTTTCACGCCGGAGTAGCTTCTTTCCCATACCAAGAATATATGCAGTTTTGAAATCCACATGCTAGCTGCCAATTGCTAACTTGTCGTTCATTTTTTAAAAAAAGAAAAGATTTTCCTCGTATTAAAAAAATGTAAAGATTGAGAAAAGAGAAAAAATTCTCCATTTTGGAAGTTTTTTTAAAAAAAAGGAAAAAAAGCTACAGCCAATCATGTAGTTTTTCACTGCCTAGAATTCTTATATCGTCCACAAAAGCATTACATTGAACTTGTAGGTCCTAGTGTGTGATATTTTGAAACAAGTTGAATGGTTCCTTCTACATAATTTCTCGAATGAGTTTTTTTTTAAATAAAAATCTTTTTAGGGCTTTCATTTTCAATTTCTTCTATCCATTTCTTTCATAGTTTTTTTTTTATTATTATTATTATGATGATGATTTTTTATAATAGTTGTTTGCAGCTTACAGTACAAGTCACGGCCATAGGCGGAACATATGTTTCGTTTACCCAATAGAAATGTGCCACCTAGCGGATTAGTCAGTGTTTTTGCTAACGTGGCTGTTTCTAATTGGGTTGGTTTACATATTTTTGTAATTGGCTGGTACGCGATCGTAGCTTCGTAGTTGAGAACTAAATACTTTTATAATCGAACACTTGCAGATCCCCCGTGAAGTGGGTCCTAGTAAAGCCGCTCCCCGTGGGCCTCAACTGGAAATCCAAACCTGACCGGTTCGGTTCCGAACCATCCATTTGAATTTTTTGAACGTTGAAGTCACCCGGTAGGTCATCTCATATTTTGCACTTACTTCAGAATTTAGAGAAGGTCTTCGACCATCGATCCTCTTCGTTGTCTCTTTCTACATGTATAGTTTTTACCATGCCTAATTGATATAGATATATATAGGAAATTCTTGATGGTAAGCTAAAATTAATATATATAAATAAAAAAAAACACCAATGAGTTTCAATGCAATATATATATATATATATAGTAAAAATGCCAAAATGCTAATTTCCTACAATCACTTATGCTGGCATGAATTTATTGGCAAAAGAAGGGTAACTAAGGAGAAACAAAAGAAATGTTACAAATATGCAACCATTATTCAGTAAAAATTCAGTGTCATAATTATCCTTTAGATTTGTGAAAATTGATAAAATAAAAAATAAAAAATAAAAAATTCTAGTATGAATAGCATTTCTAACATTTATGACATAAATTTTATTTATTTATTCTATTACATTACATTGCTTTTTTTTTTTTTATCTAAGTAACGAGGAGTGCCATTAGGTAATTCGAACTGATAAGAGCAATAGAATTCCTATCCAAATACAATGAGCGTATTGGACAAAAACCAAAGAGAAAGATGAAGAGCACACGGAAATAATTAAATTTTCAAATTTTTTGTTACTTAGAACTCAAGGCCATGTCATGTGGCATTTGGTTAATTCCATCATTATGAAGTCCAGATAAACTGGTTGGTAACCGTTTTCAACAACCATTCCACTATTTGAAAATTACCCACTGCCTAACAATTGGGGGCAGGTATTCATGTAACATTTGGCGGTATTGGATAGATGGGATATGGCTGCTTTTCCACTTTTTACTTGCTTAAAGATCGTGTTGGTTCGTGACAAATTTGCCCAGCTTTTCTTGGCTTTCAAACTTTAACCAAGGTGAGTATATAAATTTCTTTTATTACTTATTTATTTACTCTTACTTTTGAATCCAAAGAGAAATCTGTAGTTGGGGGTGACAAGTTGTGGATGATTCTTCAAGTAAAATTAAAAAACACAATTCAAATAAGTAATTAAGTAAAATGTTGAATGATCTTTTATGTAAGTTATTTATAAAATAAGTCTTTTTAATTGGATAAAAGATCCTCTAATGATCAAATTAGTGATTGAAAAATTGACGAGTTGGTTTAAAAAAATCTTTTGAAAAGATTATTTAACCATATGTGAATAATTTGGATATGATAATGAATGAGGCGAGAATTAGAACTTGTTTAAAAATTGTTTCGGAATGATAAACCGAACCTATTACTTTTTGATGGTTTGAGTCTTTATATGTATAATGTGCAACTTGCATAGCGAGAAAGACACACACACACATATATATATATATATATATATATATTTTTTTTTACATTAGTGGTTGAGTTGACACGTGATACTATTCAACTATTATTGTATGTGATATACGATGATATTAGTATTTATTGATGATTTAATTATTATCATCACTGATTTTTTATTGAATGTTTTGTCTTCTTTGACCATATTGAAGGAAGATAAAGTCTCTTCTTCTTTTTTTCCGAGCAGGAACACTTTGAGATAGTAGGGTGTTCCTAAACTTTTCTTGAGGGGCGTCTTGATTTAACAGGAATAGTCATTTTTTAAGGACTTTGACCCTGTGTGATTGGTTATTGTCTTGTATTATGATCTATGGACTTGAGTTGGATTCGAAGGATTTATCGTTATATTATTATAGATTTTTTATATTGTTATTGAAATGTGTCATGTTTTATCAGATTTTGTATTATTCAAACTTTATTCACCAAAAATCACACTGTAATCTTTTTTATTACTTGGCATTACATTTGAGTATCAAATTCACAATATATATATATATATATATATATATATATATATATATATATAACAATGTAAGAACAGTTACTGTCCAAATTTGTTGGAATAACCTTCATTTTTTATGGCGATGCACTAAAAAAGGTTAGATGAGCACAAGCTAAAAGGTCTACCCAAGGCAGGTAAATATATATTGTTAAATAAATATATTTTCTAATAACAAAGTATTTAATTTATTATATTTCATTTTACTTAAAAATCTTCTTATTTGATATTCTTTTGGTAATTTTATTGTTAATCAAATCATTAGCTGTACTTTTAATTAAACGTATTTTTTTTCTAATCACTTTCACAATTACAGTTACAATCAATCCTTAAAACTAAACTCGTACAGATTAGCACGAAGTTATGAAAATGTAATCTAGAGACTGATGGTGCCTAATTAAAACTTGTCAAATATGCACGTTGCCTTTGTTCTCTAATTTTGCACCACAAAAATTGTAGCTTTCATGTATTTATTTATTTATATTTTGTCAAATATTTCATACGTATTCTGGACAATTCATGGTGGGGCGCGTAGATTGGAAGTTACTGCTTCTTTATTTTATTTTATTTTTTTCCAATTATTACTGGTTAGTGCTTAATGTTAATTTGCGGAAATGACAGGACCCACCAACCGAACATGTAGAAGAGAGTAGGTTTATTCAATTTTCACAAATACAAGAGGAAAAAAGAAAAAAAAAAAAAGAGCAGTACAGTTCGATCATGGCATAATCATGTGTGAGAAAGTCATTGAAATGGACAAACACACCGCCCACTTTCATTGCATTGAAGTTTTGAATTTTTAAATCTTGAACTCTAGTTGAAGGATCTCTATTTATTATTTAGATTGAACAATAACCACCCATCAATATTTCACTACTTATTTTAAAAATCTTGTAATTTAATTACACTCGTAATTGGAGAGATTAGGAATGTCAATGCATAATGGATTAATTATAAAGGTAAAAAAGAAGGCCTAGTCATAGAGTTATCACCACTAAAGTTTGATATACGAACAGGTTGGTTTTTTTTTTTTTTTTAATTTAATGACTTCCAAGGATAGAGTTTAAAATCAATGTATAAAACAAATATTGCTACAATTATAATGTTTTGAGTGTTTATAGAATATTTATGGTCTAATGTTGAATGTACTCGAATCCAACATTTTTTTAATTATTTTATTTAAATATAATGGTTCAATGTTCTTACTCAAAGCATTAATATTCTAAACACACTTAAAAAAATATAATAGAGTTTAGAAAAAATTTAAAATACTCGTGTAATAACTAATAATATTTATTTCATAAATATACTTTCACAAAAAAAAAAAAACAGACACATAAAATAAAATCATATATGGATTCACTAAAAATAAAATTTAAAATTTTTTTCTCTCCTATTTGTTTGTATCTTTCTTTTGTTGAGAAGGTATGTTAGATATGAGTAATATAAAACTTTTTATTTGTTTAAAATAAAATTTGTCAATCCAATAATATAATACGATTAACTGTTCATACCCAAAACATTAATATTCTAAACAAAACTAAGAAAATATAATAAAGTTTAGAGAAATTTTAAAATACTTGTACAATAATTAAGAATATTTATTTTATGAATACATCTTGATAGAAAAGGAAAAAACACAGAAAAATAAAAAAGAGAAAACCAGATGATTCTTATCCATCAAATATGTTTTTTTTTCTTATCGAGTAAATATTGTTAGTTACGAATAATATAAAATTTTTCATTTGTCTGAAACAAAATTTGTCGATCTAATCATATATCTTGATACAACAAAACAAATAAAACAATAAAACTTTAATTTATAGTTATAGCTCTATAAATATAGTATTGTTAGTTGCTTTACGACTAATACATCGAGTGTTTAAAATAAAGTTCATGAACCTAATAATTTGTCTGCATACAGCAAAACAACATGATAAAAACTTAATTTCTTATGGCTACAATTTTACTAAGATTAGAGTCGGACTTCCCTGACTCCAGCGTTTAGAGTCACATAATAACCCCCTGGCCTATTCAAAAGAGAGCAAGTCCTATCTCGAATTGACTGGGTCTATAACCCAAGCTAAAAAGAGCGTGAAAAACACACTCCAATCCTTAATCAGAAAATTAACAACCTTCGCTCTTGCACGCGCTGGGAAAAGCACCTGAAACACGTTGGTAGTGGTCGTGTTTGGAAGCCAGGAGGTTCGGAGATAGGCACGGGAGGAGCAGCTGAGGAGGGGTGGAGTAAGCAGAGAGAGTATACTACTGATACTATCTATAAAGCAAAGTCATAAAAAGAAAGAGACTACTAGCTTTCTTTGTAGAAGAAGGAAGAAATTTTTTTTAAAAAAAAAAAACTGAAAAGCAAAAGCTCACGGAGAATGTGATATATCTCTGCTTTAGCATCAAACTAACCTCCTAAAAAAATTAACATCAAACCTCCTCCTCCTTTCCTTTTCTATCTCTCTCTTTCTTCTCCGATCCCTCTCTGTTTTTCTTTTTAAGCTTGCTTTAGCTCCAAGAGACCAAAATTGAGACTAATTTAGCAATTTTGATGGTGAAATTGTGAGGAGGAGGTAAGTCATACACTACGTAACCGTAATTTCCGACGAAATGGCCGGTGAAGGAGGAGCATTGTCGTTTTCGGTGGCGTCGGTAGTGGAGGATGTACTGCAACAACATGGTAATAGATTCAAAGATCTTGATTTGGAGTCCAGGAAAGCAGAAGAAGCTGGTAATTTTTATTTTCCGTTTCAACAGAATAATTCTCTTTCGAGGAATTGTCTTTGAGAAGTTTTAATTTTGTTGGGATTTCTTTTTGTTAGCGTCAAGAAGGTACGAAGCTGCGGGGTGGTTGAGAAAGATGGTAGGAGTGGTAGCAGCTAAAGATTTGCCAGCAGAGCCATCTGAAGAAGAGTTTCGGCTTGGATTGAGAAGTGGAATCATTCTCTGCAATGTTCTCAATAAGGTTCAACCTGGAGCTGTGCCTAAGGTAAATTTAATGCCAATTTTTTCTCTCCGTGTTTTTTTTTAAATACTCATTATTGATAATTAATCGTAGGATGAATTATAGTATTCAAAACTCATTGGTTGATGTTGATTAATTAAATTGATTGTTTTAGGTTGTGGAGAGTCCTTGTGATGCTGCTCTTATACCCGATGGAGCAGCATTATCTGCATTCCAGTACTTTGAAAATGTACGGAATTTTCTCGTAGCTGTACAAGAGATGGGGATTCCTAATTTTGAGGCATCTGATCTGGAACAAGTATGTATTGCAATAGCAATTATGCTTTTACTATATGCAAATGATGCTTGGAATTAGATAGAAGAGCTTGGTTGTCTAACTCTGGTTCATTAAATTGTATTATCCAGGGAGGAAAATCTGCAAGGGTTGTGAACACTGTTTTGGCACTTAAATCTTACAGTGAGTGGAAACAGACTGGTGGAAATGGGATTTGGAAATTTGGTGGAAATGTCAAACCTTCAGTGTCAGCAAAGTCTTTTGTAAGAAAGAATTCGGAACCCTTTATGAATTCCTTATCCAGGAACTTGTCAATGAATGAAAAATCTTTCAACACTCTGTCCGGTGATCTTGACTTCTCTAATAAAATGGTAGGTAAGCTTTAACTTATTTTAAATTTGAGCTTGCTTTCTCAGTCAGCCTGGACTTCAGATTTATGTCTTATAATTTTTTCATTTCTTTCCCTCATTTCTAGTCTGGGTCTGGTTCCTTGAGTATGCTTGTTCGTTCTGTTTTGTTGGATAAGAAGCCTGAAGAAGTTCCAATGGTAAGGATCTATGGACTTACTGCTGCTTGGTAAATTGTTGGAGTTGATTAAAAAGCAAATTTTGTTATGCATTATATAAACATTTTTTGGAATCCACCCTGAGATTCTGAGTGTACCAAGCTGCCTCAGTATTGAATGCTTGCTGATATGTTGATCACATTTCCACACTTTCAAGAATCTAAACCTTAAATTGCTTGACCTCAAGTACTACCACTCCTTAGAATTTGCAAGTACCACTGATGCTATCGCTTCTAACGTTGGTTTTACATGCCTTCTGCTTGCAAATAGTTGGTGGAATCAGTGCTCAGTAAGGTCGTGGAGGAATTTGAGAATCGCATTGCAAGCCAATATGATATGGTATGCCAGCTGATCATTCAAAACTAATCAGTTTCCAGAAGATAATTAATTTGTTTCTAATTGTCTAGCTATTTTTTTTATCCAATTCTGTTGTATATTATAGGTAAAGGCAGCTTCTAAAGAAATAGTCATCCCTCAGGGCAACAAGTTTTTGCTGAAATCTACTTGCGACAAAAGGGTAATCTCTTAATCCTCATCTACTGAATAGCAAAAGGCCTCCTAATATAAATTCTAAGAGGGTTCATGCTTCTTGTTGAAATCATGTAGACTGAAGACAAAAATGTCAGAGTGATAAAGAAAGATGAATATTTTCACAAAAACCAAATTGCAGAGGAGGAATTAAAAAATAAAACCCAGAAACAGAAAATGATCTTTGATCAACAACAAGGAGATATTCAGGTACGACTGCTTGTAATTTCTTTTCCACTATTTCCTTTTTTGGATTAAAAACTAAAGGTGCTCCTGCTAATTATGCTTTGCTGCAGGAATTAAAAAATACACTTCGTACAACAAAAGCTGGTATGCAGTTTATGCAAACGAAGTTTCATGAGGAGTTTAACAGTCTTGGTAGGTACTCGGGAAAGAAATTTGATTTTTCTTTTTGTTGTTTACGAATTTTCCTTTTTAGCCTGAGTTTGTTAAGCATTCTTTCTATCTAAGTTTGGAGTTCATGTCTTTGAACTTAGGTATGCACATCCATGGTCTAGCTCATGCTGCTTCTGGCTACCATAAGGTTCTCGAGGAAAATCGCAAGCTATACAATCAGGTGCAGGACCTCAAGGGTAAGTTACTCTTTCCCACAAGAGACTTGGAATCATGTTTTTCTTTGCAACGTATTTAAGTCCTTAAATTTGTTTTGCCAGGGAGCATTCGGGTTTATTGTCGAGTGAGACCATTTTTGTCTGGACAATCGAACTATTTGAGCACTGTGGACAACATAGAAGATGGGAATATTACTATTAGCACTGCATCAAAACATGGAAAAGGATGCAAGTCCTTTAGCTTCAATAAAGTCTTTGGACCATGTGCTACCCAAGGTCGGTTAGCTCTTAATTTAGAATTTATTCTGATTAATGCAAATCAACACTACTTTTTACATTTTTACTTACACTGAATTGCAGCGGAGGTCTTCTCTGATATGCAGCCATTAATCCGTTCTGTTCTTGATGGCTACAATGTTTGCATATTTGCATATGGTCAAACAGGATCAGGAAAAACTTACACCATGGTAAAAAGAGAAATTGGACATATCTATGAATGTAAAAAAAAAAATTTCATTGATGTAAAATTTTTTTTTTCATTGATGTTTATTTGTAAAGTACGCAAGGTTTCTTAACTTCATTATTCATTTTTGCAGTCAGGGCCCAGAGATCTCAGTGAGAAAAGCCAAGGTGTAAATTATAGGGCATTGGGTGATTTATTTCTTATAGCTGAGCAAAGGAAAGACACCTTCAGCTACAACGTTGCCGTACAAATGATAGAGATTTACAATGAGCAAGTCAGGGATCTCCTTGTTACTGATGGAAGTAGCAAAAGATATCCTTTACAAAGTGCTGTTTTCTGGTTAAGGATTGGTTATGAACTGGATTTCATGAGCAGCTACTACAACCAAAACTACCTAAATTAAAATTTAAGGACATGAGAAGTCATTTGAACATTTGTTTTACATACAGGGTTAAGAGCAGAATTGTCCATCCTTAATTTACTGACACATTAGAAATTCGTAACAGTTCTCAGACAGGTCTGAATGTACCAGATGCAAACATCATTCCTGTATCATCAACATTTGATGTTATTGATCTGATGAACCTTGGACAAAGGAACCGTGCAGTGGGTGCAACAGCCCTAAATGATCGTAGCAGCCGCTCGCATAGGTGACTTATGATTCTTCTATATAGTTCTGTTTGTTCTGTTTGCAATGACTCCTAACAGTGCCTTCCAGTTTGGGTGACTCATACTATAAATTTTTGTGAATTGCAGTTGCTTGACTGTCCATGTTCAAGGAAGAGACTTGACATCCGGAACTATTCTTCGTGGTTGTATGCATCTCGTTGATTTGGCAGGGAGTGAGAGAGTAAACAAATCTGAAGTGACAGGGGATAGACTAAAAGAAGCACAACACATTAACAAATCCCTATCAGCTTTGGGTGATGTCATTGCTTCTCTTGCCCAAAAGAATCCACATGTCCCTTACAGAAATAGCAAACTTACACAACTGCTCCAAGACTCACTTGGTAAGGTCAAAGTAAACACATTTTCAATCTGGTGTTTACACATGCCCCTTTCTCCCCACGGAAATGATCATGGTTTCGGAATGAATCTCTTCTTTCAGGAGGTCAAGCCAAGACTCTGATGTTTATTCACATAAGCCCTGAGCCTGATTCTCTAGGAGAAACAATCAGTACACTGAAATTTGCTGAGCGGGTAGCCACAGTGGAACTTGGTGCAGCTCACGTGAATAAGGACAGTACGGATGTTAAAGAACTCAAAGAACAGGTATTGCATTCTTTCTCCCCGTTCTGCTTTTGCTATACCATTTATCTTAATCATTCAATACAATTTAATGTAATCTATATCAAAAATTTTCATCCCCACAGATTGCCAGTCTAAAGGCAGCATTAGCAAAAAAAGAGAGAGAACCATTCAATTCTAACCATCGGCTCAGAGATGCAAATGATAGCAATCTTTTCCGGCAACCCATGGGTGATGTGGGCAACATAGAGGTGAGTCTTACTTTTGGATCATGGCTGGTTGAAATATTTCTTAAATCAAGCCGATTAAAATTGTAGTTGTTGAGTGTTGACACCATGGAGACAACAGTAAGATATTTCATTTGTTTTTTTTTGGGATAGAATCTATGACGCTATCAAATATTTGTCTTTAGAATTTATGCAATTTATGAATAAGAAATTCAATCTTTGAATGTTTTGTTCTCTTTGAATAAGATTAGGCGTTAAAATATATAAAAGATTGTTGACCGTTCATTGTCAGGTTTCCTTTACTTTTCTCTGGGATTGATTCCATTCTTCTTCATTATCTTTATCCTCATTCAGTTATTTTGGTTCCTATAAATTGTGATGTGCTGCTTCCTCAGGTTCACAAGTCTACTATGAGGCAGAAGAGACAAAGCTTTGATCTTGATGAGATATTGGCAAATTCACCTCCATGGCCTCCAGTCATTAGCCCTAGTCAAAATTATGGCGAGGATGAGAAGGAAATGGGCTCGGGTGAGTGGGTAGATAAAGTTATGGTAAACAAACAAGATGCTGTAAACAGAGTTGAAAAATCTCTAGGATGTTGGGAAGCAGAAAATGGCAATTTGCCGGACGCCTTTTACCAGAAGTATCTGTCAGACTCTTCAAAAATTTACCCAGAACAATCGTATAATATGTTTGTTAGTAACAACCAGTTCAACCTTGCTAATAATGACGACATGGACGATATTGATGCTGCCACCAGTGATTCATCAGAACCTGATTTGCTATGGCAATTCAATCAGTCCAAGTTTACCGGTTTAACAAATGGGATTGAGTCAAAAACTAGTAAAGCAATTTCAAAAGCAGCAAAGAATCCAGAGTTAAGGTACTGTTGATGTGATCTGGTGTTGGTCTATACTTGCATCTCAAATTCTATCTATTAATTCATTTAGCAAGTTTCTCTTATAAGTTTCAACTTTTGCAGCAAGAACTTAAATCCCTCGCTAGGCCCTTCACCATCACGAAAGTTAGCAAATGGAGTTGGAGTCCCCCCGCAACGGAATAGAAGGCAGGCTGCTCCGGTTGATGGGAAACGCAAGACTCCAAATAGGAAGTAGAAAATTAGCCCTGCTGAGGGGAAGATTGCAGATTGTTTTTCCTTATATATATTTCTTTGATTTTTTTTTTCTTCTGAGCGAAAAAAGGAAGGTTTTACTTTGTTCCTTTTTTTAAGTCATTGTCTTGTCTATAATATAGTTAATGCAGCAATAATTCCAGTTGCTTGTTATCCTTTCGAAAGCTCTCACCAGATGTGTCCTGGCTTGCTTGGCTTTGATGAGAGAGGTTTAAAAAAAAAAGGATTCTATATTACCACTATTCTTTATGTGAAATATTGTAAACTCAAAATTGATTTCAATGAGTAGAATTTTCATTCTAAGATTAAAGGTTTTTAGCTCAACTGGATTTTAGTTATTATCTTCACGCAATTGCAGATGGCATACAGAATAAGGATTCAGGTGTGCTTGATTCAAGGAGAAGCAGGGAATGGTAAGAAACTTGAGTATGTCATTAAACCTTTCGTTGCCATTTCCTAACATCTTTGGACTTAATTGATAATAAACTGTCATTGGAGCAGTAAATGATGTGAGGAGCTCAAATCATGTAACTCATATCCACTAGATATCTTTTAGACAATTCTTCTTTTAATAGTGAGCTTGATTGCATGTATGGACTAAAGCTACAGACTTCAAGAAGTGGAATCTTTTAACTTCAGCAAATAACAGACCTGGAATGATGATGTTAATCATTCCAGTTCTGTAATAGCAACATTGAATTGAGGAAAAAAAAAAAAAACACCAAGAGAGCTTAAAGACACTGCTGGCAGAAAACAATCATCAGCTTGTATTTTTATTGCTTACTGGAATTAATGATTAAAAGAACTACATTATGAACAGTGATAGACAACAAGTGAAGCTTATAATTCACTGCAATTCTGTAGAAAAATAAAAGAATTTTCTCGACAATAACTTCTGACTACACCTGTTTGACAAACAATTGTGGATTTATTTCGATCCTATACAACAGTAGGGACGGTTGATTACGGATGATGCCACGATGAGACCTGTTATATTGGTTCCAATACAAGAACATCTCTGGTGATACAGTAGAACCCGCATCACTAAAACTCTATTCTCCATTATCCGACCAAGAAGAGAAAGAACCCTCCTCGAATATGAAACTCCAAACTTCAGAATAGGAGGAAGCACTGAATTTATTGTCTGTTCCGAATGAATGGTCTGTCGAGTCCACTCCTGTTGTATCCGAAAAGTCCACCAATACGCTGCTGCTTAATCCTGACACAAAATGATTATCCATTAGCATCTCAGCAGTCAATATGAACATAGGTTTCCGCACTAGACATCCCTTCAAGAAATCTCTCCCATCCTTAGTAATCTGAAGAGGAATTTTAGGCAATTAGTCACCAATCTTTCTCAGGAGTTCTTCAGTAGTGATTTCGGGCTTCAAATCCCAAACTCGCTTTCCTGTAAACATCTCAAAAAATATGCATCCAAGAGCCCATATGTCAGAGGGAGCCTCCTAGACATAATCAACCGCAGACTCCGGTGCCATATACAAAGCAGTCCCTTTGACCTAAGGATCGAACTTCCTTTTCTTGTTCTTCTCTACTTTCTCTACCAAACCAAAATCCCCTATCTTTGTCACAAAGTCAGTGCTAGTGCCACCCCTTTTAGTTGACACAAGTAGGATATTCTCGGGCTTCAAATCATAATGCACTAAACCCTGTCTATGAATATAATCAACACCTTCAAGAATGGATTTTGTGTGCCTCTTTACATCCAATTCAGGCACCGCAACACCATTGGATCTCTTTATAATATCTCCTAGGGTTCCTCCAGAAGCATGCTCTAACACGGCATTGTAAATCATCTCATCCACCTTATTAACAGTAGTTTTCAACAAAACACTTGATAATGAAGGCACAGCCATTGAGATTGTTAGAAACCTCTTTTCTTTTTTAACATAACTTGAAAAAGAGACCTCTGCAAAATTCACGGCCGTAATAGGAGGACGATAATGGTCGTTTCTTGATTTAGGGTTCTTCGAATTTGCCACATAAACAGAAACAAAGCCTCATCTGCTAATCAGTGACCCCCACTGCACGATTATACAAACCTGGTTCTCCTTCATTTTCTAATTCCTCAACCCTTCTCTTCATAACCTTTTCACTTCTATTTTGCAAAACACAGAAAAAGTTTGTAATCTATAATGTTGTAACCTATAATGTAGTAAGAACTAGGGTTTCAGAGAATGCAAGAAAGAGAGAAAAAATGTAGAGGCTATAAAGAATTAAGAAGTAGAGCGCGTTAGAGAAATCCGGGTGACGTTCGGATTTGATGTGGTAGGATTGGTTAGGAAATCAGTAAGTAGGGTGGGGTGCACATGTAGGAAGGAGTTAGTCGCGTTTTTAGTATATAAAGTTTTCAATTTTTGTTAATCCAGTCTATTTGAGTTATTCAAGTTGCAATTGTTTTACATCAAGTATCTCCATTAGCTTTTTTTTAACTTTTCCATTATATAAAGGAATATGTTTTACACATGACAAGGAAGTAGCATCGACGCGAATATCATGAGCAAATGATGTGATTTTTTTAAAAAAAAAAAAACCGAAGAAAAATCTTTTTTTACCAAAAAAAGTTGATCCATGACTGTCAACAAGCCTTGTTGTCACCAACCAACACCATCAATAACAGTCATCCTTGCCGTCAATCACCCCACTATTTGTAACAATCCTGAACCAAACTATTACTTAAACCATCATCTACTTAAACCATCATCTACCACCACCTGAACCTTGACCCCAAAGACAACTTGTTCATCCCCATAGCCATGTTAGCCACCATCTGACCTTCCTCTCCGTTGTTAATAGGAATGGCAATTGGGCGAGGTGGGGATGGGGATGAAAAGTTTTGTCCCATCCCCGTGAAAGGCAATGTTTTCCATAGCATTCCTTTTCTAACGGGGACGGTGATCCCTGTGGGACACCGATACCCTGTCCTATTTTATCCCATATCATCTTGTATCAAATTTCAAATTATAGCAAAAGGATAATAATCCATATAAAAATACAATTAAGAAAGACAATCATTTAGCAACGATATTTAATTATATATTTACAATACAACTCATAATATATTAAATTATTTTAAATTCGAATAAATAACATACTTAATTAAGTTGATGAAATATCACAACTCGTCAATATCACAAAAGCAATTAAAAAAGATAAATCCTTGCATGTTGTTATTATTTAGAGATCAATGAAACTCACTAATTATATTGGAGACTAGTTTGTAGTCTTAGAGTTTATATATATGTTAGGTATTGTAACGCCCCGATCCTAGGACGTAGATAGGTCAAGGGTATTACCAACATTGATTTATATTCGACGTATAATGAATGCAAGCTAATAAGCTTATTCCCTTATCCTATCTAATGCATTAGTGGAAGTGGGCATTTAATCATTCATCGAGTCTCCGATGAGTATGAGATACTAGGTCCACTCATGCATAATTTGAGTATAAATTTTTTTCGTTTCCTTTGGATTAAGTTAAGCCATATTAATTTCATTTAAACCTTCTCTAATAATTTAATTATTTCATTTTTTTTAGTCTTGCCCTACCTAATTCCTTACCTATCATTTTAAATTGCAATCATTTCCTTGACCTAACAAATTTCCTCATTCTAGCCACATTAGCCATTTAAGCATCTATAATCTATGACTAATCAAAATCGACATACTAATGACTTAACCTTCAATTGATAATTTCATCTACACCAAAAAAAAATTTATTAATTAACTTATATATATATATACATATATCAAGAATTGCTTAACTTGCTATGCATCAAGATCAAGCAAAGTTATGCAAGATTCCCTATACTCAGTAACCCAAACCAAAGCACACAAAATGACAAGTCTATCACTCATCTCTGCATCCACCCTTCATTTGTCTTTATCATTCCCTACAACATAAAAAAATAATAATGAGCAAGAGGATGCTCAGTAAGTATAATTCATGTAATGCATGTGATGTCCTTTATGGATGAATGCAAATGATGCATCTTTTGTAAGTTTTTCTTTCTTTTTTCGGATACACTCTTTCCTTTGTCATTTTTTTGATTGAGACCTTTATCAAATCCCCCAACCGTCGAGGCCTTTACTCGAATCCCTTGATGAAAAAATACCTTTATCACATTCTTTAATTGGAGCTTTTACTAAATCCTTCAACTATCGAGACCTTTACTCGAATCCCTTTACAAAAAAAGTGGGTCAATTTCTTTAACTGGAGCATTCACCAAATCCCCTAACTATCAAGGCTTTTACCGAATCCCTCAACAAAGAAATGGCATTTTCATGAAAACTATATGAAAAATCATGAAAACCTTTTTTCTTTTTCCTTTTATTAAAACCTTTTCCCTTTTTCTTTTCATAAAAACCATTTCCTTTTCTTTTCATCAAAATTATGAATAAAATTTCTTTTTCAAGATAATGATGTGCATATACATTTTTACATGAAATGCAATGCCACGTACATTACCTCATTATGCATACCTTTTGAAATTCCTCAAGAATATGTGCACACGGAACGTATCCGATGTATGTTCTAAATAGATAAGTATGCATAATATAATAATATACACCATGAACAATCAAATATCATGTAAAAGCATCATAATCATACGTTTCTCATACAAACATGGCCAAACATAATAAGCATCATAACCATCAAATTTCATACAAATGCATTCATTCCATTACTTTTAATCCTCTAAAGCTCACATTTAAAAAAATTCCTCTTTGTCCTTGTTGTTCATACTTAGCCAAATTTGAGCTAATCGAAGGACAATTCTTATTCTTTCATTCTAACCTTAGAAATGTCTCTTAGACATTTCATCAAACATTTGATGGGCATTGGACATGGTAGCCACCAATCTATACTTACTTAAGGATTGTTCATCCACCTTGTTCATGGAATAAGGACGTCATTCAAACATTTCAATATCATTTCCTTACGTTACAAAGACATATAAATCATAAGACCATTGTAATTTAATCATTTTCATATAATCCTCAATACATATTAACTAACCTTCATCAACAAACCCTAAATTATCACTAATTATTTTTTAAAACATAAATTCTTATGGTGTAAATTATACTTAACTCCTTTAGAATTGAGTTGATTATTTTCCTCTCTCCTTTGGTTTCTTCCTTCTCATTCTTTTCAAATTTCGGTCAAATTGGAGAAATTCTTCCTTTCTCCTTATTTGATCTTCTAAGATGGCTTAAAGGTTAATTTAAGGTGTTTCTAGGTGTATTATAGTGATTAGGATGAGTAAAGTCTTCCCTATTTCAATTTAGGGTTTTTCTCTCTTTTCTTCTCTCTTTTTCTCTCCCCAATTTTCTCCTTTTTAAAACTTGGATTTCCAGCCTTTTTTTCTCATTTTGTCCCATTAGTTCAATTAGGAGGTCCTTTACTTAATTGGTACTTAACACCTTAGTCCTCTAGCTTTCAATCCTTGTAATTGACCATGCAATTTCAATCTGTAACTTTACATTTTTCATTAATTTGCCCCGAGCCAATCTTAATGTTAATCAAGTCCCTAAGGTTTCTTAATTATTTTAATTAAAGACTTAAACCTTTAATCTTACTCAACCATTCAATAAACACACATTTTATTAATTAACAAATTATCCATACATCACAATTATATTTCTATAAGTGTTTTATCTAACATATATTACATGTATAATTATAATTTCCAAAGGAAAGGGAGAGGCGAGGCGGGGTGGGCAAATACTATCCTCGTTCCATGCCGTTCAAAGTCAAAACGTTGACTTGGATAGGGTAAATTGTCATCCCTAATCGTCGGCAACCATTGCTCCTCTCTCTTCTACAACCAAACCTCTACCAATCCAACCTCCAACAACCACACTTTAACAACTCCTTAATCGTCAACGAACACCTCTAAATACTCGACACTACAACAATTCCTAAATCAACAACCACAACGGGCACCCCATATAAACGATGGTGCTAGAAGAGAGATCGATGATGAGGAGTGGTTTATCTAACGTAGGAGAAGTGTTATGGGCACGACAAGCAAAAAGGAATGGAAATTATTATGGTGACAATTCCTAGTGGTGGTTTATGGTAATTATGGTATGCTAGTGGCAATGGGGTGATCGATGGTGGTTGACAACAACAAGGCTTGTTGGCGGTGATAGATCTACTTTTTCTTTGGCGAGGAGGAAGAGACTTTTTCTTGTTTTTTTTTCTATGTCATTTACACATGGTGGCCACATATCTCAAACTTCGTTGCCACGTCGTTGCTACGTGTAAAACATGTTTCATTAACCGATCATGTGTGCAAATAATGACAAAAATTGATGAAAATCTAACATAGATACTTGATTAGAAAAAAAAAATTACAACTTGAATTACTTAAACAATAAAGATTAAAAAAGATACACTTGATGAGAAAAAAATTGACAACTTGGTAAATTGATTAACTCATGTAAAAATTAATAACTTAAAAGTGATATGATCTTTGTTTTTACTTGAAAGTCCATGTTTTTAATTTCGGGAAATAAAAATTACAAATTCTCGTTCTAAAAATAATAAATATTATCAAGAGGTTAACAATTTCTCACTTATTAGTATTGAAAAATAAATTTTGTTGTTTTTTTGATTTGAAATATTTTTAAACTTGAACCTTAATGTCAAATACGGTTTTAAATAGGAACAAGAGGAAAATTGAAAAACAATATTGAATAACACATTTTTATTTTTACACTCTTTGTTAATAACATTTAATTTAATTCTTTTTAATTTTAATTTATGTTATACAAACTAAGTCCTCACACTCGTAGGAAATGACCCCATTATTTGAACCACAAAATGTAGTTAAACCCATTATTTATACTGTGTGTTTTTGTAAATTTGTTAAATAAGTTCATGTATTTTTTTATTTGATTAATTAAGCACCTATATTTTTAATTTAAATCAATTGAGTGCGATTTTGTAAAATTGATAATTTTTATAAGTTAATTTGAATAAAAAAATATAACCATGTAAAATAGGATCTACGTGTGGTATTTGTGCACATATATATTATATTTTTATTGCAATATTCGTGCACGTGAATATTATATTTTTGTTTAATTTAGTATGTAAAAATTATTGATTTTATAAAATGATATTTAATTGACTAAAAGTAAAAATACATTTGTTTAACTGATCAAATTAAAAATACAAAAACTTATTTAATGAATTTATAAACACATAAGGTATAAGTAGTGGGTCTAGCCACAAAATGTGGCTATAAATTCAAGATAAAGAACACAAATTTAGATGGATTTTAGATCCAATTTCAATTTTGCTCCCAAAACTTTCACCTTAAAATTGTCAAGTAATTGCTATCAAAGTCAAATTCAGTATGATCATCGTTCATGGTCTTCGTTATCAAATTATATGACAAATGATGGTCATAATCATTGTTGAGATGTTGAAACAGTGTTTGTTGTTAAGTGTACTATGTGAGTAATGATTTGGACAATGATTATAATTTGCTTGTGAAAATTAATTAAAGTAAAATTTTGTTAATCATGGGAGTGGCGGTGAACATGATTTGATAATTATAGCGTGATTATGTTAATTTTTTAGTTAAATTGTAAATCATGATTTACTTGTTAATTTTTTGGTTAAATTGTAAATCATGATTTGCTTATTATTATTATTATTATTTACATTTTGTTTTCTTAGAATGAATTGTTGTCATCTTCTTTCCATAATGGAATCAATTGTCTGTTCAATATTGAATAATGAATTAGTTGTATTTTATGTGCACTGCTCTGATATTTATTTTTTAAAATAAGGTTAATTTATTTTGTTAAATTCCTTTTCTAGTTAGGCTAAGTACTAGCCTTTTCTTTTAAAAAATAAAATAAAATCGCTCAAGATGTCAGGTTGTTGGTTCTTACTTTTAGAAGCTTCTTCACATTTATTAAAAACATGAGTTTACCTGTCGTGTTTTAATTTCAGATATTTCAAGATCGGGACTTCTTTGTTAACCGTGTCATTTTCGAGGAGAAACTATATTTCGGTCGAACGCAAATCATTCAAGAGTTTTTGAATTGATGTTTAGAACCACGACAAAAATTCATATATGTGCGTACTTTTTGAATTTATGTTTAGAAACTGTATAGCTATTGCTAATCATTCAAGAGTTTTTAAAATCTTTTATTTTTTTCAAATATAGAGCGCTACTGCTAATATTCGACTCCATTCAATATTTGTGTGCCCAGAGCCGAGTTTCAGTTCTGGGACTTGATTGAAAAATAAAACAATTTAAGTATGAATGAAATCATTCAGAAAAAGTACAAGGATAAAATGCAACTTAAACCAACTTAACTTCTGAATCCTAAAACCCTAACCCCTCCTCCCACACTGAAGAGGCAGAGGTAGCTGCCTGAAAACCGTACATTGAGATACGCAAGAACTGAAAAGAAAAACGCCTAAGACAATGAGTGTGAAGGGAGATTTTACAGAAAGGCTCAAAGGAATCCAAATTTCCTCACTGGATGACGACGATGAGGTTGAAGAAGTTGTTGAAGAAGAAGATGACGATAGTGAAGAAGAAGACGAACCAGTAACACTAGGTTTTTTGGAAAAGCCAAAAAATAGTTGGTCTCTTTTGCGGCAAGTATTTCCTAGCAAGGCTGGTGGCGTGCCGGTACTTATATTTCAACACTTCAAAACTCTTTTTTTATTTTTTTTAATTGTCTCTGCCAATTAGTTTGTTCAAAGCAAACCCAGGATTATGTAAACTGATGTTGTTAATGCCTATGATGTAGGCATGGCTGGATCCTATTAATTTACCATCTGGAAGGTCCTGTTTTTGTGATATATGTGAAGAACCTTTACAATTTTTGCTTCAGGTACTCCTGCACGATAATTTACTAATTTCTTGAATTTAGATGCTGCAGACAATTCTTTGTCGAATTTTCATTATTCGCAAATGAGACTGTTCCAATTCCCTGCTTCCTTTTCTTTCTGTCAGTGGTGGGTTTGATTGAACTTATACTTAGTGTATGTACCACGTGCGAATCTGCCTATGGCATTTAATTTGCTGCGATTTTACGTGATATGAATATGACAAGTTGAAGAGAAAATGCATTTCGTGACAACTAGTTCTGTTGAATAAATCTTTAGGTATATGCACCAATAACAGAGAATGAATCAGCATTTCATCGAGCATTGTTTGTGTTCATGTGCCCTTCGATGCCCTGTCTTCTTAGAGATCAACATGAGCAATGGAAGCGCAGTCCAGAAAAACCATCTCGAAGGTGTTTTATCTTTTTTCCACTGTTGTTCTCTTTTTGAATACCGTGACTATGAACAACTAAGGAACTATCTGATTTCTTATTCTTTTACTTCCCTTATGAAGTGTGAAGGTTTTCCGTTGCCAGTTGCCTTGTTCTAATCATTTTTACTCAAGTGAGCCTCCGAGAAACAATGGAACTGACAAACCTTCTGGATTGGGGGGTAATGTCTAGCCTCGTTTTCTTTTCATTTTATTTAATATTGTGTGCCTTGGTTTGGGTTTTTCGTTGCTATGGAGAATAACTATACATGATACATTTATGGAATATTAAATGGAAAATGATTAAAAACACTCTAAATTTAGTATGTGGCAGTACTTTTCATCTTGTTTTTTGATAAACGACTCCTTGCGAAATGTGCAAAGCATCTCCTAAAACAATTTGAGCGAGTCGAACAATTGCCTGTGCAACTGCTCTGAGTTGGACTTCCTCAATTGAAGGTTGTATCAGATTCATTCCCAATCTCTCCTCTCTCAGACAACACATCTTCACTTTTACCTAATGACCCTCCCTCTCTGCCTTTCTCCTTTTTCATAACCCTAAACTTGTGTTGCCGCCAGTGAACTAAGACAGATCACTAGAGTTTGAGTTGATTAATGATAATAATAATTTGTGCTGGATCCAAGGCTTGGACTCACAAATTGTTTGCTTGCCTCTACAATAATGTTTTTACTTCCTCATCTGCAAAAACAAAACTGAACCTAACTTATTTGTTTATGGATTTGGTGTGTAGTGGGGTGTGACTTCAGTTATTTGCTATCTAGATAGGACACTTGCAACACTACGAAGTTGAAGGATGGGCTTTTTGAAAGTGAATTTAAATTTTTCTACATGATATTCATTTTGCTTTCTTCCTCTCTCTCTTTTTACATGGCTGGAAATTGCAACAGGTAGGCATGTTATGAGAACGGAGGGTATTGTTGATTGATTCATAGTTTGTATTTCATGAGCAAGAGAATCCATGATATAAAAAATCACCTTCTACCTCACATTATCTCCTTCCATTTTTTCAACTATGATGAAATTCTACTTCTTCTCATGGCAGATCACGGTTTGCATGATTTTAGCTTGCACTTGATATCTGATGACTCATTTGAAGATTGTTGTATCTAGATTTGCCTCTTACAGGAAAATTGAGGTCAATGCCCTCAAAAAGTTTAAATTGAGACGATAACTAGTAGTGTTGTCAAAATTGCTAGTATTGTTGTCAAGGGAAATTCACCACAACCAGTCTTATTTGATTTCTGTGGTTTTGATTTACCATCATCCTTTGCTAAGGACCTTGATTTGAACTGTTAGCAGGATGATAATCGCCAGAGCCAATCTGTGCTCTTTTCAGCATTTCTAGCTGTAGTTTCCAATGGACAACTTGAATGATTGCCCCTACAATACAACTGCTCTGTTGTACTTTAAAAGAGAATTGCTGAGCCATGAGTGGCCTTTTTTAAGATCTTGGGTGTGTGAGTTGTTGATATGATAACAGTCATCTAATGGTGGATACAAATTGTTCCCACATAAGAATGACATAAAGCAAGAGCAATATTTCTTGCAAAGACAGGACCCAAATTGAAAGTATGCAAAACTAAGGGGTTTTTTCTATATAGTTTATTCTATGTCTACTTTATCCACTGGACTTGCATTATTCTGAATATAATTTGCATGAATGTCACCTGGAAAGCACATATAATTCAAGTGGTTAATACTAGACCCATCACATATTATATTGCCAACAAAACTATTGCTTCTAAACAAGCAATTAATGTCCTTCTACATGAGACTGATAAATCATTACTCAAAACAAAGACATCATTGTTTGGAGCAACATGGCTGCAAGGATTCTACAGCGCAAAGATAGGTTGATTAATTAAGATTAATTAACACTTTTGTCTGATCTGTGTGAATATCACTACTCTTGTTTTGCATGTTTCCATTTGAATCACATCTAACACCTTCCATCACTCACTCATTTCTGATGCCCATCATTTTTGCTTGTTTTAGTTTCGCTTTGTAACTGGTGTGGTACCTGGAAAGGAGATAAAGTTTGTAGTAGTTGCAAAAGAACAAAATACTGCTCACATAAACACCAGGTATAAGTTGTCAACTTGTCATAAGTTTATATTAGACCTTTCTTGCTGAATTAACATCCTGTCCTCTGTTTCCATATTTCGCAGGTTTTGCACTGGCGCTCAGGTCACAAAGTTGATTGTCAACAATTGAGCCTTTTGCATGACTCTAGCTCCAGTAAGAATGGAACCACTTCAGCAGAGATCATTAAAGGCTAGTATACACATCATGAAACTGGTTCCTGGGGTATTGCACTAATTTATATATGTATATGATTATCCTTATTACACTAATTTATATATGTATATGATCATGCTCCTTAGAAAATAGTTACATTTAATGTATCATGTGAACCTTGTACCAGAATATCATTTTCTTACAGTAGTTTGTGAACCTTCAATGTTCAAGGAATAGTATGGTTCACGTGCAAATTGGTGCCATGACATTTTGGCCTAGAATCTAGAATTTTGAGTCTTTAGTGGTGATTACCATACTACCACTTAAAACACATCATAATGCAGTTAATACTTGTTCTAGGTCAAGGTTACTCAATGAAATATATGCATCAAAAGGTTTTTTAGAATCAAGTCTCTGATTTTATTATTTGGTTTACAAACAGTTGCTAGCAATACCTTGTGGCCAGAGTATGAGATGATAAATGATGATGAAAGTGAATATGATGCTGAAATGTTTGATGATATCATATCCACTCATTCATTGGTATCTAGGAACAAAATGGATGACACAATGAATTCATTGTTAGACAGTTTTGAGGTATCAATTCTTGCTTTTGGTAATAGAAATTTATGCACTTAATTAAATCTCCTGCATGCTGATTTACTGTTGTGGACAGGGCAATAGTGACAGAAAGTGCTGGGCATCTTTCCAACAGCGCATAGCCAAAGCCCCTGAACAAGTGTTGAGGTGATATGAGCTAATATATTTGAAATCGTTTGTTGTACTTAATAGTCTAGAAAACTCGAACACAATTTGAAGTTTATGTGTGTGATGGGTCCCACGCAGGGGATGATTTTATGGGTCTTCTAGCTCTGTATTTCCTAAACAACTGAACAATTTTTTAAGAAAATGTGTAAGATCTAGACATTTAAAGGGCTACAAACACAAGCGGGGAAACTGATCCTCATTGGACATTGGCTTCTGATTGAGACTCACGTTTGTAGAGAATTGACGTTCTGTAACTGCTGCTTATCCTACATTACGTGTCAATACTGTGCCATATGCCAGAGTTATCATTTGGGTTGGAAATGATCAAATGAACAAGTAAAGTTTAAAATCAACATTGCAGTACATCTATAAATGCTAGGCAGTTTGCATGTGCATATTATTTATTTGGCTACTCCGGATGCTATACTCTGTATTTGTTGTCAGTTACAGACTGAGAAGTTGGTAGGGCTTTGTATAAGATTTTAAAGATTATATCTAAGTTAGTGTGCATGTCAAATTTTCATATCCTAGTTGTATTTCAGTGTTAACCAGAGTAAATTATAAATTAGTCCCTCTAGCTTTGTAGAATTAAATAGCCCCTTTTGTTTCAAAAAAAATAATTATTTTAGTTATTTGATCAATATTGACTATGATTAATTTAATATTGTTTTGTTTCAAGAAATGTTTTTTTTTCTCACATCAATCTTTCCATAATTTTTTTTTCTATTTATAAAAAAATAAATAAAACAAAAACAAATCGAAAAGAATGAAAAGGATTAAGTTACAAATAGATTAAAAAATATAGAGACTCATTAATTAGTTATTGAAACTAGATGGACTATTTAATTCCTTTAAAAAAAACTAGAGGGACTAATTTATAATTTACTGTGTTAACCATTGATTTCGTGTACCTATTATTTGATGCATTTTATCACGTAAACTCCTGTTTATTTTGCAATGGATACTTATTCCTTTGTTTGAATTAGCAGGTATTGTAGGAATGCTAGTGCAAAACCCCTCTGGTCTCTGTCAAGTGGCCAGCCATCTGTGGCTGACATTCCTAACTGCAGTTACTGTGGTGGTCCTTCAGATTTTGAATTTCAGGTATAGTTTGATACCTTAAACATTTTTGTATCTATTTTTTTTATGAGTATTTGTTTGTTTTCCTATATTTCGATTGAAGCCCTTACATGTCTGACCAAAAAGTGCCTATTAGCCTGCTTGGTTTTTCTTTTCTGTATGTTCTGCTGTTCTATTATTCGATTTTCCTTTTGGATCTCAAATCTTAACTCCCATTGAAGTGGTAAGCTAACAGTTCCTGTATTTGGTGCCTCAGATCTTACCTCAGCTGCTTTATTACTTTGGTGTAAAGAATGACGCGGATTCTCTCGATTGGGCAACCATTGTTGTGTACACTTGCAAAGCCTCTTGTGAGGCTAGCATGGGTTACAGAGAAGAATTTCCTTGGGTTCAACTCTATCCAACATCCGCAGCCTGATGTTGGTAGTTTTCACTTATTAATGAGCGTCTTTCATTTTTTTTTCCTTTTTTGCCCTTTGTTTTCTCCACCAATCCTTTTCCGGCTGTTAGCTCTGTTAAATTGAGTAGTAGAAAAGTTGTACCTAGTTTTTAGTTAAGAGACAGGTTTGCACTTTTATAAAATGAGTGAAGGCACACTTTTCCTTTGTATAGGGAAATTAATTAGATGCTGTCTTCTTTCTTTCAGTATTTTTTTCTTAGTTCATTATTGTTACTATTGTAAGGCAAGTCCATTGTTTTGTACTTTGTTGGGCTTTGAGCTTTGAAGCTATTGTTCCGATCAGGAAAAGAAAACAAGAAAAATCCACCAGATTACTGCTCTCCTCTGCCATTCTATTCAAATCATGCCATGCTATAATTTGATATAATGCATTTGTAAAAAATGTAGGAATCTCAACTCTATTTCACAGATTAATCTTCTTTATGACATCAAATTTAGCATAAAATGTGGCAGACCATGTTATGGTAAATTTGAAATCATGAAGATGAAGGTTTAGATTTGTTCAGACAGAAACTGGAGAAATGTTATAAGCATTGGGTGTTGGTTTGCTAGTTGCTAACGGGCCCAATACCCTACCAAAACCGTGTAGTTGGAGGGTCGCCTGATTTCAGATTTAAAATTAAATAGCTGAAAATTGGTATTATATCGTCATCGTTACGTATCTAACCATATATATTTAGCAGCCAGAGCCCATCACGCCCATCAAAACAGTTTTTCAACCAAAAGGACCTTTAAAATGGAGGAATTCCACCATCTCGGCGTCACGTGGCAATAACTAAAACCCCAAATACCTTTTCATTTCTAACAGAGCAGCATTTTGCATCTTGGCTGACGGACCAACCTTTTTTATTCCATTTTTCTATCCTCTCTCGATCAAACTCTGCTATCTCCTCGATCCTCGCATTCTCCAAATCTTGTTTTCGTTCCTTCCGGGACAGTAAAAAAGAATGGCGATGTATATCGTGGCGCGGCGCCTCTCTACTGGATCCACGACTTCGCAATTTCCAGCTTCCTTGCGTTATGGGAACTGGTTGAGGTCTTATTCAACTGCCTTTAGAGAGGAGAGGGACACTTTTGGCCCTATTAATGTTCCTGCCGATAAGTTCGTAATACCATCTCTCTATCTCTCACTCACTCACTCAAGTTTCTTACTTCACTCCACCTCCCTTTGTTTTTTTCTTTTTGATAAATCTCTTGCTTTGCTGTTTTCATTATTAATAATTCAGGCTATGGGGTGCACAAACGCAAAGATCATTGCAGAATTTCGATATAGGCGGCGAGCGCGAGCGAATGCCCGAACCAATAATCCGAGCCTTTGGTACCCTCAAGAAATGCGCTGCTAAGGTCCATTTTGATTGCATTTCTTTTTTTCTCATCGTTTCAATTGCTAATATGAACTAATTAATTAGCTCGTAGATTTAAGAAACCTAAATCTTTACGCCTTACTTGAATTTTCCATTTTGACTTTGATATTTTTAGTTGCTGACTGTGCTTAATTAAATCTCAGGTTTATTAAAGTTAATTAAATGCGATTTCAGATTAACATCTTCACTTCTTGTTGATTTTGTGACTACTTTTTATTTTTTGGATTATGATATGTCAATCTCAGGATAATACTGCTGATTTGTTTTCGTGGGAATTACATTGACTTAAATTTAACGTAGATGATTTATTTTTTCTGATAGGTGAATATGGAGTATGGGCTTGATCCATCGATAGGTAAAGCCATAATGCAGGCCGCCCAGGAGGTAGCTGAGGGAAAGCTAAATGATCATTTTCCACTAGTTGTGTGGCAGACTGGCAGTGGCACTCAAAGTAACATGAATGCCAATGAGGTCAGCGCCTTCACATCTTTCTTTTCATTTCTTTGATTGTGTGCTGAATTCATCCAATAAAAAGAGGGGGAAATAAAGCTATGGCACGTATTTATTCGCTATGAAAAATAGTTCAAATGTTAAAAGTGTGATTGGGTTTTGATTTTACTCTCATCTTGTGATCTATGGCTTCTTCATTTGGTTCAACAGAGTGTTAAATTATAGGATTTGAAGCGGCTTGGTCCAATAAATTTGATACCAGAAACCATTAGTGAATACTTTGCCATTCGGGTATAGGTAACACTGCTGATCGATTTGGCCTTTGATAAGCGAAAACACACCTTGTAATTCTATATCGACGATTGTCCTGTCTGCCATGTGTTTAACTGATGTAATATTGTATTTTGGATCTTTAAACTGTAGTCACTAACGGTGAAGAAAATCGAAAAATCTGATGGAGTTCATTCAATTTACCTGATCATCCCTTGGAAGTTTTCCTGATATAGTCACCCTGTATGCATTATAGTGCAAATTGTAGCATTGAGATTCTCCCTTAAATGGTGCGTATTGTTGGTCTTGCCTATGTCAGTGAACTGATTTTTTAATGTTTTGGTTATACAATTAAAATTGAACCAAAGACTTACTCTGCTCTGAGTTCTGACAGATATATATCCTTTGAGATATCTAAACTGAAGGGTCTTTGAAATTGTTTAGCCTTCATCATTCAAGTTCATCTGATATGTGGCCATGATTGGGTTTTTAGTAATGTTTAAAAGATAGATTCCATACCTAATGATCGTGCATTTCAGAGTATGGTTCAATGCATGTCTGAACTACACACAAATGCAGACACCAATGGTGAGAATTCAAAACACGTACACGTCCTTTCTATATTTCATTCTGATGCTCACAAAGAATGTTTTTCTAAACATTCATCCTGTAGCCTATTAGAAATGGAAACAAGATGGAATTCATTCTGATGCTCACAAAGAATGTTTTTCTAAAAATTCATCCTGTAGCCAATTAGAAATGGAAACAAGATGGAAGTTGAATGACCATTGAAACAAGTGCAGAATCAGTCCCGTTGTAAACATTTGGTTTGCAAATTAGACTTGCTTTGATTAATCAAATACTAAATGCCATAAAAATTCTGGCTTGTCATGCCAATATGATATAGCAAATTGATTCGTTGTTTTCTATGATGTTCTTTCCAGGTTATTGCCAATAGAGCAGCTGAGATCCTTGGCCATAAGCGTGGGGATAAGTTTGTGCACCCAAATGATCATGTCAACAGATCACAATCTTCTAATGACACATTCCCAACTGTAAGTATGATTTACTTTACTACTTGTGTCAAACTAATAAGGACTAGTTTTAAAATTTTCCTGTTGGAATTAACCACTTAATGTGCAAACTGTCCATGTGAACTATTATGTACTAATTATCAGCTGTATCTTTTTCTTATTTAGGTAATGCATATTGCAGCTGCAATGGAGATAAATTCAAGGTTGATCCCAAAATTGAAAATTTTGCACGCTACACTCCATTCAAAGGTTTGACTTTGCTTTTCTTTTCTTTTTCTTCTTTATTTTTTGTGGTTTGAGAAAGGGGACATTTTGATGTTTATTGTTTTACGGAAGCAAATAGAAACATGGCTGAATCAAACTGCTTCTATGTGTTCAGTGCATTTAATAGAATGCTTTTAGCTTTGGGAATTCCTCGTATTTCATGCATATTGATCACGCCTTTTCGTTACATGGCTGGCCATTACATCTGTGCTCATCCTACTCCAGTATTGATGCCCTATGCATGTTCTGCACCTTTATCTATGACGTACTTATTGGTGGGAAACTTAGCAGACCATGAACCATAGCAATTATGATTTTTGTTTGCTTTCCATCAATTACTTTACTTCTTACTGCCGGAAGATTGCTTAACACATTTTTATCCATGCATGCTTTTGTTGAACCTGCAATTTCCTAGTTTTAATCCTAGATTTAATTTCATAGTACAAAATTTTCAAATACTCATGTGCTTTGGTAAATATTCTTGTTATTACATTTTTCAAATTGCGTGCAGCCTTGTTGAAGTTTTCTTGTCTCCATTCTTAGATTTGCATTTGCATCAATGTGCAAATTTTCTTGTATTTGTGCTTCTGTAACTACTGTACCTGGACTAATCTTGTTTGTTGGTTCTAACCAGTCAGTTGAATTCCAAGATATTGTTAAAATTGGGCGCACACACACTCAAGATGCAACACCATTGACACTTGGACAAGAGTTTAGTGGCTACACTACACAAGTAAGATAGCTTTTCTGTATCATTGGGTCACATTTTTCTGTTGTTGTGTGCTTCTTTTTGATGATTTGGTGGCTATTTTCTGTATCTTTTTCTCTGATCCACTGTTGCCACCATATTTATGTGTTTGTGCTTGCTTACAATGATTCTTGCTTCGTTTGCAGGTGAAGTATGGAATTGACCGTGTCATGTGCACGCTACCCCGCATGTATCAGGTTGGCAACACATATGTTCAATAAACTTTGTCGTTCTACTGTTCTTTTCCTTTTCTTTTCTGATTTCCAGATTTATGACATTCTGGATTTGTTATTTGAGTAGCTTGCACAAGGTGGAACTGCTGTGGGGACTGGATTGAACACAAAGAAAGGGTAAGTAAGGCCTCAAGGCTGAAGAGTTTAGTTTCTGGGCTCCCTTTTTTCAAAAAATAAATCTGGCCTTTTCAATGTTGGTTATTCTTATCACCCCAAAGGCAGGAATCACAGTTTGTTTGCTTTCTTCTAGCTTTATTTTTCGTTGACGAGTGAAGGTTTTGCTCCCATCTTACCCTCAAAGAGAAAGAAACTCGGTCTTTTTATAGCAACTTTTCCAATGCTTGAATAATGTTATTAATTTTATGTTTTAAATTTTATTGTCTTTAAGAAAATAGTGAATTTGGTGGGAGAACCAGTTTTTTGAAATCTCTTGGAATTTATACAAGAATATTTTAGAACCATTTCTGTGATTTATTTTTTATATTTCTTTATCGCAGAAACATTTAGTTTCAAGGCATGTCTGTTCTTTGAAAATTATCATTCTTTTCCTTTCCATCTAGGTTTGATGTGAAGATAGCTTCAGCAGTGGCTGAAGAAACAAACCTGCCATTTGTCACAGCAGAAAACAAGTTTGAAGCTTTGGTTGGTTTCTAAATTCCTCAACTTTAGTTTTCTTATTTTTCTTCCAGTTTCATTAATGTTGTAAGAATAAACTTTGGACTTTTGATTTAATTCTATTGAGCAATAGCACAATTCTATCTGTCAATGTGAAAAATTCTTCTGCATGCTGAAGCAGTATCTCTTTTATTTTTTTTCTTTTTTACAGGCTGCACATGATGCTTTTGTTGAAACTAGTGGAGCACTCAACACAGTTGCTGCTTCTCTGATGAAAATTGCAAATGATATACGCCTATTAGGAAGGTCTGTGCAGATTTGTATAATCCAATTCTCCCTGCTCCCACTTGTTTGCTTTATTTTTGTGGTTCACAATGTTTTCCTCTTGCAGTGGTCCACGATGTGGCCTTGGTGAACTCATTCTTCCTGAAAATGAGCCAGGAAGTAGTATAATGCCGGTAAATTGTCACATCATCTTGTTTATTCATGACCCAAAAAATTTGGGATTCAAAAGCAGCACATTTTAAGGTTCTTTTGCAATGCAATGTTTCAGGGAAAGGTTAATCCCACCCAATGTGAGGCTCTCACGATGGTCTGTGCTCAGGTAAATTTCTAGTGTTTTCAGTTTCATCTCATTAATATCATATGATCCACTATAGAACTTGTATAAAGGCAGATACTGAGATTATATATTCATGGTTTTAATATGTATGCTGCACTTGCATTGAAACAATCAAATTGTTGTTAAAAAATGCCCTTTTCTTCATTTTGCAGGTTATGGGAAATCATGTTGCCATTACAGTTGGTGGATCAAATGGTCACTTTGAACTAAACGTATTCAAGCCAATGATTGCTAGTGGCCTCCTACATGTATGTTAATGGTGCTGTAATGTCCTTGTTATTTTGATGTTGAGGTTCCAAATACTACGTTACTTAAGAGTGCTTTAATGTTGGATGCTCCACCATGCTTGTTTTGATTCAGCAGGCAAAATCAGTTTGATATGATGTTTTTTCATCCCTGTAAAGTAATTCAGTTTGCTAGTTTTGACTTTGTGAACCTTTGATAGCTAGGTTGGATAACTGGTTCAGTTTGAAGTTACTGATAATTTATGAACATAGGAAAAAAAACAAATATTTCATGCTAAAAGTTATATCAAAACTAAATCAAGGAATTTGGATTCAATCAGATTTTGCGAGAAATTTTTCTTTTGAATCTAGCTTTTCAATGCTGCAGGTTGCATGATGATGCATGAGTTCAATCTCATCTGGCACATCTAGATGCATGCAATGAAATCTTAGATGTATCATGGTGGACCCTTAATAGTATTTGAAATCAAATAGCATTTTCTTGGCTGTTATTAGGATGCTGATTATTCTGATGTGCCGTATTACTTATTGGTCACACTTTACTCAACTGCTGTTTTTTACTCTTAGTTGGGAAGACTAAATGTGTGGTCTGTTTTACTCAACAAGTGTGTTTGACCTTTATCTGGCAGTCACTAAGATTGCTTGGGGATGCATCTGCTTCCTTTGAAAAGAACTGTGCGAGGGGAATTCAAGCCAATAGGGAAAGAATTTCAAAATTACTGCACGAGGTCAGTTCTCAATAACTACAGAACATTTAAACTTAGTTTGCATGTTACATGTCTGGAAGCTCGTTGATCATGTTTTATTGCTTTTGGCAATTTGCATGGTCCTGCAGTCGCTGATGCTTGTTACATCATTGAACCCTGTAAGTTTCTATACCATGTCTATTTTTATATTCTCCTGATTTTTATGTGTTTGGAATATTAACTCATGATTCCACATTTATTCTAGAAAATTGGTTATGACAATGCTGCAGCAGTTGCCAAGCTAGCCCACAAGGAGGGATGCACTTTGAAGGTGATGATTTCTTCTCATTGTAGTGACTTCACAATATATTTTGTGTGTATATGACTTGTGATGTGCTTATATTGCAGGGGTAATAATTTCTGCCCTTGTTAGAAACATGAAACTGATTCTTATGGAATAATTCTCTTCCTTTTCTCCCTCTCCCTTTGCTGGGAAGGGCATAGAATTGCAAAACATCCCAACTCCTTGGAGAGGAGCATACTTGCATGCTTATGAAGAAAATTTATTCTATAATATTGGGTTTTTCTTTTCCTTTTTTCTTTTTTGGTGTTTACTGTGTGATAGCATGTGATTTTATTGGTGCTTAATCCATTTTTTTCTCTTGGAGTGATCAAATATCATATATTACCATATCTACCTTTGCAGGATGCTGCTTTAAAACTTGGAGTGCTCACCAGTGATGAATTTGAGAACCTCGTGGTCCCTGAAAAAATGATTGGGCCATCTAATTGACAAGTTATCAAAGAGTTTTCCGCTTCTGAGAATTGATTTCCCAAGACTCCGAGCATCAAACAAGGTTTTCTGTTTTAACTTCGCAACATGTTAAATCATTTGATACGGAATAAAGTGATCAATAGTGACATTATTTTGTCAAACAATATTCTTAGAGGTTTCCCGCCAGCTGGTTTCTCTCATTTTTCAGAAAAGTAGCAATAGGCATTGATGAGGTTAATAATGGGAATCCTCCCTCATTTTGTAGCTGAAAGGACCAGTTATAGCTGAGAAATTTACATGCTGCAGTGAAAGAAATTATATTATTGTGGCGAGCGATCTAAGCGTTTTTGTTTTTGTTTTTTATTTTTTTATTTTTATTTTTATGGTTTAGTAATGTATTGCTAGTGTATTGACGCACATGTATGTTTCAGTAGCATGTCACTGTTCTGGCAGCTTCACGAAAAAATGTGTCACATTTCTCTGTAGTCTCAGTTGCTTAAATAGTCCCTCTCCAGTTTGCTTTATCATAAGCGAGGTGGCTACAAAGTTTTTGACCTTCTGCGTTACACTACCGCAAGTTCTGCAACTATGGAAATCAAAACAGGTCCATGTCAACAAATTGTTGCAATGAGAAGACTGAAAGACAAGCTGAATCAGCTTTTAGTAGATGCGATATCTCCTATTCAACCAGCAAAACATTCTTAGCCATGCTACTCAAATGTGAGAGATTATTGCAATTTTCATTTCCTTGCAGTAATAATGCCATTTTTGGGGGCAAGTACTTCCTTTAGATAAAGAAATAAAAAGCGTTCATATGGATATTGACCTTATGCGTCTATGTATTACAGTAGTGTCAGACTCACCCATTTCAACTCTTTAGTACCCTTTTCGGTTTCTGCATAACATGACCTTGAGAATCACCATAAACTCAAATTCAATATCAAGCTACATTGCAGGTCCAGGCCATTAAATCCCAAACCGCGGGAAGGAGAGATTTTTTGTTATTCGCACCATAAACATTATAACTTGCCTTGCTAAATTTATCCACCATCAAATTTCCAGGATATCCTGGATAAGCTCCAGCACCAAATGTTCCCTAGGACATGTAGAGTCAGCCTCTAGTGGTGTCAAGATATCACCTTGAAAGTGCCCAGTCTTGTAAGGGTTGGTGGCAGTTCCTGCTAGAATAGTTGCAATATTCATAACCATGCCATCGGCCCGGATACCATTAGGTGCTAGTAGGGGGTGGTCTGGAGGACCATTGGCTGGATATGCATTTTTAGGGATCATTGACGTTTTTTTTTCTTTGACGATTCAGTCAAATGCAGGCATGTATTATTAAATATACCTTCGGTTGTGGATCAATAATAATCTAAAATGCATTTGTTTCTTTGGAGTCGATTAAAATATTTTTGGGCTTCTTATATCATATGTGTCTTTTAGGATGATACACAAACGACTGATTCACTGTCCGACCTTGTACTTAAACTGAATGAATTTCAACTCACAATTCAAAAAATCCATTGAGTAGTCCAACCACAATAATTGGTCAATATTTTCAATTGTATTGACGTTGCCATGCCCACGCCCATGCATATGCAGTCTAATATGTAAAACTTGTCAAATTGCATGGACTCCGTCTAATTAATGTTGGAGATAGGTATGGTTAGCTGCATGATTATATATTTGATAAGATGAATTAAGATCAACATCCAATGAATTAACTTAGGTACATGCAAGGCATAATTAATGTATTGATCTGTATATTATTGTAATGAAAAGGATGAAGATAATGATATTACTTGCTGGCTTACATTCTTCGAAACTCTTTTTTGGGCAATCTGTCTAGACAAATGGTCACCACCTTTAAATTAGTCAATATTTGTTTGGATTGCTGCCATGCATGACACTTCGACAACCATTTTACGATTGAATTGGATTGGCCGGCATGAAAATTTCCTTCCATGGTTTTACATGGGTGCGTTTAGTAAAAGGGGATCTTCGCTCTTTGCTTTCGGAAAGTAAATTATAATAAGAAAGACAGAAATGATTGCCGACGGCTCCATCGTCCACCTAACTTCTCACACATGCGAAGCTATTTTACAACACGTATACCATGTGCCTATTCGATGAGAATTTCGAGGGATCCGTTTGATTTATATATCATGCACGTGAAGCAGTGCTAAATTAGAATACCCAACGAACATTACTTCTTCTGGAAAATAAGGTGATCCAGCCGCGCCGTTCAGCATGATTATCTTGTGACGACTCCACTCCACTCTAGAATATGAGCTTTTTATCCATAATCGTCACGAATTGTATTCTAACTAAATTGTTTTAGATCGTTTATCAATATCAGTAATTAAAGATTATACAATTCGAACAATTTTGAAACCACAGTTCAATTAGTTCTTTTCTAATACATCTATGAGTTAATTATAACTTAGTTTTTGTAGTTTACAAAAATTTATCTAACTAATCCCTATAATTTTAGGAACTATATATTTGATATTTATGTTTTTGAAACAATTTATAATTTAATTTTTATATTGATGTCTCATTTTGTCCTTATATAACAAGATAATTTTTCAATATATATTTATATCTCTAACTAAGTTTATTTGATCCTTAAATATACATTAAGGTTTTAATTTATACTTCGATAAGATTTTCAAGCAAATTCATCAAAATTAACCATGTGATTTACACATAAAAACCTTCTATTTGTCTAGTGTATAATGATATTTTGAAAAAAAAAAATCATATAGAAATCACTAGCCTAATTCTTGTAGTTTGTTTGAAAATTTTATCAAAAGTAAGAATACATTATAAACTTAATCTTTATTCAACGATAAAATTGACTCAATTAAAAATATAAGAATGGATCGGAGAATTATTGTATTGTAGAAGGAAAGGTTGAGCCATCAATCCTTCCATATTTTCATCAATTTCAATCCCTTTTTTCAAATTTTGTTTTGTTTTTAGAATAGAAAAAATAATAATAAAAAAGAATTAGATAACATGAAAAACTTGATGTGAAAATAACATTTTTTTTAAAAAATACTATTAAATTAAACATGAATAACACGAATCGGAAAATACATTGCGGGGAAATTTTTTTCTTAATACCAATTCGAGTATGGATAACATATTTTAAAAAGTAAATCTCAATCTTGTCTTCCTAAAATTTATATGTTGTTTTAATTTAACTTAAAATGTTTAATTTGTTTCAATTAATCAATTATATCTTTGTATTGATATTCGATCGGACTCCACATCTTTTCTTTTTGTTTCAATTCGCCCCATTCATTAATTTCTGTAAAAAACAATAACGAAAAACACATGTAAATTTCAATTATATCCATAAATTTGTGAAATATCTCAATATCATCCAAATAGTCAATAAAAATCAATAAATGAGTTGAATTTTTTAAAAAAAAAAACAACTGAAAAATACTTTCTTTTTTTTTTATAAAATAAATATGATAAAATTTAAAAGAGTTATTTTTTCAAGAAATACTTCAATCCTATCAATTTTAATTATCACCTAGTAATATCCTCTTTTGCTTTGTTGATACTACAATTAAATTAAAATTAAAATTCAAATGAATTTAACTTTAAGTGATGTCAAACTTGTCTTATTCACATTCTTCAATTCCAACAATATAGAATTTTTTTTCTTTATGATTTTTTATCATGCTTTTATAGTAGATTTTGATGGGGAACTAGATAAAATGTGTGAGAAAATTAAAAATTAGTCTCCTTTGTTTCGGGAAACTAATTAATTAGTATCTTTGATTTAAAAATTAATTATTTAATTGTTTTTAATTCATTTTAATTTTTGGTTTTAAGAAATAGAAATAGAAAAAGAATAAAAAATACATAAAAAATTGATGAGAAAAGAAGACATTTTATAAAATAAAAATATCAAATTAATCATAATCAATAAAAATTTAAAAAAATAAATAATTAATTTTTGAAATCAAAATGATTAATTAATTTGTTTTTTCAAAACGAAAGTAATTAATTTATAACTTACTCTAAAATGCGTAAATATAACGTGCTAGAAAGATTGTAAAAGGGATACCAGCAATAGTGATTGATGTTATTTTTAAAACATATTTGTTTTTTAACTTAATCTTATTCTTATATTTTAAAAGAATCAATAGATAGAGTTGATGAAAAAAAATTATTATTTTTTTACAATATATATAATTTTCATTTATTCATTTTTAGGAGTGTTCATTATTATTTTTTTCAAATTTGTTTAAACTGAAAAATCTATTATACATATATATCTCTTTAATAATTTTTTTTTAATTTTCATTTATTCATTTTTAGGAGTGTTCATTATTTTTTTTTTCAAATTTGGTGAAACTGAAAAATCTATTTTTTTTATGTGTGTGTATATATATATATATAATTGATATTTTTTTACAATTTTCATTTATTCATTTTTAGGACTGTTCATTATTTATTTTTTTTTCAAATTTTGTTAAACTGAAAAATCTATTTTTTTTTTTTTATGTGTGTGTATATATATATATATACAAACCGTTGAAAAAGTGGAAAGAAATCCATAAGATCATAATTCACCCTGTCACAGAGGCATAGAGAGGCATCCCTCTCTCTCTCATTCAGTCCTCAGCCCTCACTTGCCAGTATCCCACAGCCAGTCAGCCAGCTCCCCCTTCTCTTCAGGCAGCCCTCCCCTCAGCTGTCGCCGTCGATGTCCAGTGCCTCACAAACTCGCTATTTCAGTATTTCACTGTGAAATTTCCACAGCAACCTCACCTCTCACAGTCCGTTGATGCCACCTCCTTCGTCCCTCCTCTTCTGCTCTTCTCTCAATTTCAGCTTTCAAGATTTAAAGTTCAAGGCGAGTGAATTTCTTGTTTTTTTCTTTCAATACGGAAAGGACAAACGTTTAAGAAAGAAAGGTGCTTGGCAACTTCTTCATGGGGATCTTTAATAAAAACAAAGCGATAGAAATTGACAACTATAAAATCATTTGATGGGTCTGCTACAGTTGAACTTGAAGGAATGGCGGCACAATCGCATTCCAAAATCTTCTGCTTCTGCTTTGCTTTATTGGGTATTGAATGTGAAAGAGAAAGAAATGGTATTGTTGGTGTGTGAGTGGAGCCGTGGAGGTAGTGGTTAGTGAAGTAAAGGGAGAGAAGATTTTGAATTGGAAGAAGAGGTTTGTTTCTTGTAGCAATTTTAGCAGTGGAGAGGCGGTGTTGCACAACAGGCAGCACCACAAGCCCAATTTAAAAAGGTTTATTTTGCTAAAAAGCCTAAAAAGAATCCAAATTGAAAAAAAAATTAAAAAAATTGATTAAAACCGCATTAACCAAAACCAAAATTTGGGTTTTTAACTGAAAAACAAATTTAATTAACCGAAAAACTGAATGAACACTTTTATTCATTCTCATTTTTGGAGTTATATTCAGATATTTCAGTAATTTTAAAGATGAAATTGAAGCTTACACATTTTTAGAAAATGAATAAAAATAAAAATAGAGAGTGAAACAAAAATACAAAATACAAAATACAAAATCTGATTGAAAAAAAAAAATTAGATGAAATTATAAAGTAAATGTCAGGGCAAATTAAAATATACCCTATTTATAACCCAAACGAAAAAGGGCCAAGTCTTATGAGGAAAAAGCTAGCACGAGATTCGTGACTAAGTTCTAGGGCCAGAGCAGAACTTTTATTTATTACCGAGTGGGTCTGATCAGGTTCATATGGGTTTGTCTCACTGAAGGCCCAAATATATAACTCATCCTTTGAAAGAAGGAAAGATCGCTGCCCCGCCGAACACAAATTCACAGCCAATTTGTGGTTAATTGGTCAGCCACTACTTGCTTAAAAAATCCAGTCTAACTTCTCTCTTACAGAAATCACCCCCTAAACCAACCCTAGCAGGTATCTCTGCCTCTCTATGCGTTTTTTCTTTTTTGAGCGATGCAGTTTGAGGAGTCATCAAACTTTTTATATTTAGTTAGGGAATGCAGTGGTAATTGCTTCATTTTACTAGATTAACTTCGTCTTTTTTAATATTAATTTGAGTACACATGATGTAATTTTGTAAATTAATTTGTTGCTGTTGTTTTAAATGGAGTAAAACAAGTATTGAAAAAAAAAAAAGACAGCATGATCTGGATTGTGTTGTTTCTGGGTTTTGTTTATGTCTAAACCTTTAGTTTGATTGTTGGACGGTCCAAAACTTAAATTTGTTAGGTTGATTTTGACTTTGGCAAATCTTCGACTTCCCTTCGCTT